AAGGAAGACCAGCGATTCGCTCGATTGAATGGGGAGGTGCATGCAATCAAACAGGGAAGGGAGCTGCAAGACCAATTCCATGCCGAAACGCAGAAGGAGATCGATTCAATGAAGAAGATGCTAGAGGATCAGAACCAACTGCTGGTTCAGTTGCAGCAGAGAATGCGAGGGATATCTTCGATGTCTGTGCCTTCCAGCAGACAAGCATCAGTTGAGTGCTATTGATAAAAAGAAGTGTGTCCGTTTTGATCGGGTTTTCTTCTTAGTACTAAACGTAAAGTACGTGACGCAAGAACAATGTGCGTACATATTATCATTAGGGCAAGTGAGTGAAGGCAGTGGCGCCACGGCCAAACTAGTTGCGTGCTATAAGAACTAACAGAGTGCAGTTATTGTGGAGCCTTGTGGAGGTAATGCATTTGTTTTATATTATTAAAGAATTTTATTGTTTGTGCTTATGTTCTATATTGTAAAAATAGCGTTATTTGTATATTAAATAATCAATCAAAACATTGTGTTGTCTAGTCACAGGCCTTTCACATATGCCTAAAAGTGTCTATAGCGCTGTCTTACCTTTGGGCTTTCGAAATAAGACTCAGCAGTTGAGTGGTACTGATGAAAAGAAGTGTTCCCGCTGTGCTCGTGGTTTCTATGTAACGGTCAAATGGCAACTGGTGAGAAGAATAGTAGGGGAAGTGGGAGTAGAGTCCTAAAGATGGGTGTTGGCCACGCGAGAGGTATGGCAAATGAACTCCATAGGCATAGTCTAACCTGGATAAACATCAAAGAGATAACTACTACGATAATTCAACTGTGAGCTCACAAAAAGACGTGTTTATTGTGTTGGGAGGGGTTCGCGATGTATAGAAAAATGAAGGTGAGAATGGTCTCCGGCAAATGAATGACCGTGTAATTAGGCAGAATCACACAGATTTGGGTGTAATAAAAGTTCCCTATAACCATGACCTCAAGCAGAGATCCTATGTGAACAGTGCGGTAAAAAATATCAGTAGAAAGCTGATGAAATATAATTATCCTGGAGGTTTATATTCCAGTCTCTACAAATTACTTTTTTATGTATTCTGTCAACAAGTGTTTGTGGTTTGTCCAAAAAAATATGAACATCACTGTGAGGGTATCTGTAAATACAGTAATAACCATTACAACACTACAGTTTGTACTGCAGATATCTCAAAGTGTTGTTCACAGCCCAGATTATTAAGAAACGTGATTTCCCTATTATTTAACTATTTATTTACAAATATACAGGATCCTCTGCTTTTACAACCCTTCCTACAAAATTTACCACCCAGTTAAAAATTATTAATCTCAAACAAGTCTAGTTGGGCTTCTGCCAACCAATGTTCTGTAAAACACCAGGCATCTACACTTTGTAAACTAGTATTTAAGAGGAGTGATAATTCCATTCGATATCGTGTAAAATTCCAAATTTATGATTTCTTAAATTCAACTTTACTCTCGTTTCACATTTTTGGTTATTTATAATTTGTCTAGATCTGTCCATAAAAAATCTGAACTTTGTATTGATATTTTGCAGAGTCGTTTTGTCTGAAGCTCTGTTCGATTATCAAGCTTGAAATCATCTCTTCCACTTTCATTACTTACTGTATATTGTATATGCCTATTGTTTTAATGCCTTCCAAACATGGAACATTCTTCCTTCACCTGTGATGTTTCACAATTGTCTGAATGGATCCAGTAAATTTTTCTCCTTTCCATTTAATCCCAACTGAAGTGTTTTTCACATTTGCGATATTTTTGCACCATAACTTCTTTACCTCTCCCATTTAAATGCAAGGCATTATTTGTATATAATTCCAGACAGTTTTCCACTTCAAGAAAATGAAGATTTTCAAAACCCTTATATTATACCACGCTTATTTTATTGTAAGCTTAAAAGAAGGTAAAGCTATCCCTGGAACAGGCCACGAAGGCCCATAGGATCGTGAGACATCGAAGCTCCCACATTCTCCAGTCGGCTCATAGATTGCAGTGAGGTGGTCAGCCTTATTCGGGCCAACCTTTAACCCCAAGAAGATTCCTGTTACTCATTTCTGTTAGAGGATGAGCCAGACCCAGGGCCACAGTGCAGCTGGAAGGATTAGGTCAATTGAAAAATCCAATGACCTCATCAGGAATTGAACCCACGACCTTCCATGTTAATCATGCACACCAATTGTGAGTTTCGATCTGAAACAGTTATGATGGGACTTAAATGATGTGCAGCCATTGTTAAATGTCAAGCAGCATTTGAGCTTCTCACATTCACATTTTAAGCTTCATGTTAAGGTGACGCAAGGTTTCACGGGATTCCTTTTAAGCTTAAGGGATCTTCTTATATGCCAGTATATGTGGTACAGTTTAGGATATTACAACAGCAATGAAGAGCTGGGTAGCTCAGTTGGTATACTGCCTAGCCTGTGGCATGGAAGACCACACCTTCCATGTTAAGTTCGCTGCGGAAGCACTGTTCAGACAAGCACACTCGCACACCTGTATCTTTGGCAGAAGTGAAGGTTTCAGGTTGTGAATGATTTAATGAGAAACTATGCAGAACTAAGAATTTTATTCTTATAAAAAGTAAAAATAAAGTTATTCCTGCGCTTAATTAATTAAGCACTATCAAATGAGGGAGTGGGGGCATAGCCCCACCATTCTTGACCTCAGCACTAGAGAGACACTAGTGGTCAACTTCACGACCCCTCTTGTTTTACCTCCAGAGAAAGAGCCCCCCGTGCTCATCGGAGAGGCTGGGTGAGCCCCACAGTCAGTCTGCATATTGTGGAGAAGAGAACAAACTTGCCTCTGTCAGGATTCAAACCCTGGCTGTCCAGCCCAAAGCATGTCACTATACCAAATGAGCTATCCTGACTATTAGCATATGATAGCTTATATGTAGGTGAGAAGATAATATTAAAATGGGTTTTAGAGAAATAGGATGGGGTGGAATGGACTTCATTCATCTGGCTCAGGATATGTTTCAGTCAAGGGCTACTGTGCACATGGTAATGAACCTTTGGGTCCTATAAAATGGTGGGAAATTCTTGAATGGCTAAGCAACTGTCGGCTTCACAGTTAGTTAGCTAAGATAAGCTGTATGCTTTGAGGTTCTCACAGTGGTGGTTAGGAATAATTCTATCTTCTAGACACAATTCCACAGACCACAAAACAGACACATGTAAAGAGACAGGTAAGCCTAAGATTCACTATGCATGATTCATGTTTTGGACACATCCACCACCTTCAGTATCCCTGATCACTAGGTTCCATAATCTGGGTCTGGTTCAAAAATCCAGTGTGAGTGAAGAAACATTCCTACTTTCAAGGGCCCAACAGACCCTCGTTTGCATCACTCCCTTACCCTTGATGACAGAAACATAAAGTTTCCAAAATGTAGTGACTGAAGAAACTCAACATCATGGGCAATGTCCAGAATCACATTTATTGTGAACAGGGACTCAAGACATATACTTACAGATGATCAAAGAACAAACATGTTAATATGTTTATGACAGTTACTGTATAAAAAACAGCATATCACAGATAAAATGTTACATTCAGTTTTCTGCCCACTTCCAACTTTCCTACATTCAGAGGAACCTTTGTTCAGTACAAAATCTTATGGACCTTAGTAACTTTCACACTAAGCGGCCTCTGTAGTCTAGGGGTAACGTTCCCACCTCATGACTCAAGATATGCGGGTTCAAAAACCCAGTGGAGGTCGTGGAATTTTTAAGGGAGGAAAAATTCAGGGAACAAGTCCTCCAGGAGGGACTTTAAGCCGTGTGTCCCGTTTCGTAGATTTACGGCACGTAAAAGAACCTCATGTCTCTAAGAGACCGCTGAGCTAAATTAGGCCCAACATTTCCCACCCAAAGTAGTTTCCAATGCCTCCGGTAGATGGGGAAGTATTAGGTACCACTGCCAGAGGAGGGATGACCTCTCTGACAGAAAGGGACTAAAGTATTAGATACCACTGCCAAGTAGAGGGTAGAAACCTTGCTGGCAGAAAGGGGCTAATAGCGAGCACCAGTACCGGTAGGGGATGGAGACTGTAGAAATTAAAAGGGGGACGTACAATAGACTATCAGTCGCGGTGCATGGGGAAACCCACCCCCTCACTACTGAATCACTGAACTTTCACACTAGGCAGCTCTTCATTTCATGGGTATTACAACTAAGTGAAATTGACACATAAAGTTTAATGTCAAATACATTTTCTTGTATGATGAAACAACTGATACACTTAAATCTGAGGATAAGAATATTGCAATGAAGTTTTCTTGGGCAATCAGCCAATGTACAATGAGTACACAACTTTTCATAGGCTGTCTCTGTTACCATCAAGGGTTGATGTGATGTGAATACCCTATTCATGCAAGCGTGCTACACCAGATGTCAGCATTCCATGTCTTTCGTTATGAATGGCCCTATGCAGATTTCATCATGTTTCACAATACTCTTCTCATGTTATTGTGGTCCTCCCATGTTGCATGAATTCCACCATCAGCACTGCTTCCCTGTCCCAGGAAACAGCTGCTATCAGCTTCTTGGTTTAAACTTTCTCAGTTTGTTTGCTGAATGTGTGTGCATCTACTGCTTTGTCCACTCTTTGGTTTCAACGTTCAAAGTGCTTCAACAATAAAGTGGAGTTGATGGAAGGTGACAAAAGGTGGCCGAGCTCACAGGCGACAGACTTATTTGGCACAGTCATACAAAAACTTATTCCCCAATACAAAACGTGCCTCAATTCTGGTGATGACTGTGTCGAGAAGTAGCTCAAGTAGGTATTTTCTCTACACAACAAATTTTCTTTTCCCATTGCCTGTTTTGTTAACAGCTCAGTGGAGGTTACCTTCCGAACAGCCCCCATATGTTGATTAAGCACTAATTAATCAGCAAGGGATAAGAAGTGTATTTGACTTTAAGCCAAAGGGAAGTATTCAAACTAAATGTCACTCAGAGGTCACTATGCGTACAGTGCACGAGTTCACACACAGCTCCACATCTGACACCAGATTGATGTGTTGTATTCTGTGGGGATATGGTACTGTATCATAACACCCACAATACAGTACCATATCCCCACACAATACAACATAAAATTTCTGGTGTCAGATGTGGGGTATTTGAATAAGGCATATAGAAAATCTGAAATGGTTCTCGAACCAAATATCTGACAACCCAATCTGAACAGACGTTATTTGTTTCATGCTGTTCTTATAACCCATTGCTTCAGCAGCAGCTGACAATAACTTCAATCAATTACTGAATCCTATCCGTCCCAGATGCCTTCAAGGCATGATCCAGCTGTAATTTCAGTTCGTGGTGCTCCTCCAGATCAGTGGCACGTATGGATTTCTGCACGCAGCCTGGAAGGGGGCATCTGGAACAATAATGTGCCATTTGCACGTCCAGATGAGAGCATCCAGCAACCAGATCACTGAGTGAATGACATTTCATTTCTGTTTCCTTGGCAACTACACCCAATGCAGCCACATTCTGGTTACAAATCAGAGACTTCAGGTTCAGTAACTGGACGAGGGGGGAGGAGCCAGGAAGTGCAGTCAATATAGCAATTCACTATGGGCTGGATGGCTGAGGGGCAGGAGTTAGAGCACATGTATATTCAAGATTTTTCTCCTCTGCACGTCATCTAGACCGGTTCTGCGGCTGACTCAGCCTCCTATCCAATAGGTACTTGAGGCTTTTTTCTCGGGGAAGGCCAGAAGGAAAGAGACCACTAGGAAGATCTAGATATAGATGGGAGGTTAATATTAAGATGAATCTCAGAGATAGGATGGGTGGCATGAACTGGATTGATCTGGCTTAGAATCGAGACCAGCAGTGGGCTCTTGTGAACATGGTAATAAACCTTTGGTTTCCATAAAATGCTGGGAAATTCTTGATGAGCTGCAAAAGTGACAGCGTCATGGAGTTAGTTATATGGGGGTAGGGGGGATTTCATTTACAAAACTGTCAGTAGCTAGATTATATAGCACTGAATGACAGGATGACAGATGATTAATGAATCAGAAAGGATTTGGAAGGAAGTGGTCATAACCTACCTGTGGTAATATCCTAGCAATTATCTGGAGGGACAGAGAGAAATCACAAAACATCTCTCAGGATGGCTGGTGTCCCAGCCAAAATTCAAAGAAAGCATCTCCCAAATACAGTATTACCACTAGACAAACCTGTTCAATATGACTATATCCTACTCCAGAACATCAGAGAAGAATTACTAAAGAATAAAATTAACACATGGCACACATATTCAGGAAAATCGGTTCTCATAAAAGTGTAGTTATGAAAATTGGCACAGAAGATGAAGACAAGCAGGATACTAAAACCCTGATATTCACACACTGACAGGTGACCCAGATACTTCTAAAATTTCACCGCCACACTGTCTGCCACATTAGTGCTGCCAACCATATAGCTTTATCTGGAGACACAAAACTGAAAACCTAACCTCAGAAGGTTTTCTGATGTGCTTTTTCAAAAACAAAACCAAAATATTCACTTTATGGACTTGTTGAAGCAAATGGTAAAGCTCAGCTTTGGATTTTATTTTCACAAATAAACTTCTGAAGTTGGCAGCGCTAATGTGGCAGAGAACACAGCAGTAACTTCCAAGTTACTTGGGTCACACACTAATATGTAAAATCCAAAACCTCTTAGAAAACATCACTTAGTCTTCTGTGTATAATGCAACAACATCAATATAGATTCAGATGACACTGATCCACATATAACTCACTAAAATGTTCAAAAATGTCATTAAAATACATATACATTCTGTGTTCATATGCTACATGTTACGGCCACACAGGACCATCTTCAGGCAACAGATTAGTAAGGAATCCACTGCACTGTGCACTTCGTCAAGGGTACTCCTAAGATACATCATTATTGTTATTAGTTTTGACGTTGTAGAATGTTTTTCTTCCTATATTTTGTGTTGTGACTGTTTCTCTGCAATGTATACTGTATGTTTATTAACATGATTCTGTCCATAATGTTTGGGTTACACTATCTCCGTGTACATAAATTTTGTATTTTTGTACTTACATGCCCCATTGAGTGTGACACTCTCTTGGTCGTGTGTATCATCTGGTGATTTGTGTTCCTTGTACTAATTTGGTGAGGTGGTTCTTGCTCAAATATCTTTCTATGCAGCATATGTACTGTTTACTTACTTACTTACTTACTTACTTACTTACTCATGGAGCTGAGGCCTTCTGGAGGAGCTGCCAATTCAGCAGCTACTCAAGAATTTCCCAGCATTTTATGGAACCTGAAGGTTCATTACCGTGTTCAAAAGAGCCCTCCACTGGTCCCTATCCTGAGCCAGATCTATCTAATCCATAACATCCCATCCTATCTCTCTAAGATCCATTATATTATTGTTCACACACCTATGCCTTGGGCTTCCCTGTGGTCTCTTTCCTTCTGGCTTTTCCACCAATATCCTATACACTTTCCTTGTCTCTTCTATTCGTGCTACATGACCTGCCCACCTGATCCTCCTTGACTTGATCATTATAAGTCAAGGAGGATGAGGTGGGCAGGTCATGTAGCACGAATGGCACATGTACTGCTACCTATCATAAAGTTCATGTACTGTTTGGAATAAAGGATTGTATGCTTCAATGTGTGTATCATTCATGTGTAAGATGCTCCTGCTCATTTTGTAAATGTGATACTTTTCTAAGGTGTTCAAGTGCTGCCTTTCCTTCCTGTCCTTATGATGTCCATAGTATCTGTTATTGCGTCATATGTATGTTCTGGGTTTAATATATGATTTGACTACCCAGAATTACTGCTCTTACTTCTCATGACATTAAAAAAACTTATGAAAAACAGAATAACAACAGAAGGCAGTACAATACACAACAGCAAACCATAATTTTCGTTGTTTAAATATGATGCAGTAAAATCAAGGTTCTGTTATTTGTGCTCAGCAGCACAGCCACACAAAGCCACAGTAGCATAACTGACTCTATGAAGGATAAGTTATGCGAGTTCAGTTGCCACTGTTTGTAATGGTCATTTCTGGTAACTGCTGGCTACAACACTTTCAGGTTCTAGCAGTGTAACAATTTCACCATCAATACAAATTTTGAAGTACAATAAACATATCTGCCGTTATCGCACCACACAAGCACTGTTCCTTATACAAGGGCGTTCAACCATGGAGGAAATCTGGCAGCAGTGCACAGCGGACACAACATTCCTCACAGATTGCTGCTGTAACTGCTGACAGCAGAATGAGTCATTAGCGCTGATAAACATGCGCCATCAGGTGGTCTGATCTTGTCACTGCAGTAAGTCACATTAATAGTCAGTCTACGTTATAGGTGTCGATAAGCAGTCGACGTTTATACTGAAACGAAGTTCACTACTGAACAGTGTGTNCTTTTGCAAGGAAAAAAACTTACAGAAAATGTATCCGTAAGTTTCATCATAAATATCCTGACTCACCAGTTCCCAAAAGTCGTGTGAATCCAAGCTTGTGAAAAAGTAGCGTGTTATTTCATTCTGAAGAGCTTCAGTGCTGTGAGGATTATTCTTGGACCCTTTTCCTTTCAGTTTTCCTCAAAGATAAAAATATCAAAGCTGAGATCTGGGAATCTGGGAGGCCACAGTCCTCTGCTGATTATTCTGTTTTCAAACACTTCCCGTATTGTGACCACGGTTGCATTAGCACTGTCTTGCTCAACATACCCATACTGTCTTCAGCAGTCAGCTGTTTGAAGAACGGACTCAGTATGTCATTAACGCAACGGTCAGAGTTCACGGTTTCATGGAAAAATAAGGGGCTAATGATTCACCGCGGACTTACAGTACACTACACCTCCACCTTTTCAGTATGTAATGGCACTTGCTGTATAGCGTGAGGATTTCCATCACTCCATATTCTTACATTTTGTGCACTGACATGACCACTAACGTGAAAGCATGCCTCATCAGTCAGGAACAGAAGCTGTGGATCCACGACTCCATCATGCACATTTTGCAGCAGCCAGTTGCAAAAACGAATTCTTGCTGCATAATATATTGTTAATTATGTTTATGATGTCTTTCCTTGGTATGTTTGTGTACATATTTTTGATATCTAAGGAACATATTCTTTTATCATTATTCAGTTCGATGGTTTTTAGGTCCATCATAAGGTGGCTGGAATTGTGCACTCTGTATGTATATGGTCAATTTAAGTAGCTTCATAGTGTTTTTGTCAACTGCTTTCCCAGTTCATATGCTGATGCATTCTTCCAGTTGATCATAGATATAATAGGTGTGTCTAGTATATGTAGTTTTATTGTAGCACGCAGGATTGTGGCCGTGGTGTTCATATTTGTGTATTTCCAGTCACATAAAAAGTAAAAAGTAAAGCTATCCCCGTACCAGGAAGTGAAGGACCATAGGGCTGTGAGATGTTGAGGATCCCACATTATCTAGACAATCGGCTCAAAGATGGCGGTAAGGTTGTCAGCCTTACACACCGGCCGCGCTTTACTCCCCAGGAAAATTATTTAATTCCTGGTACTCATTTCTGTCAGAGGCTGAGTCAACCCCAGGGCCACAGTGCGACCACAAGGATTATGTCAATTGAAAAAAATCCAATGACCTCATCAGGACTTGAACCAGTGACCTTCCAGCTTGTAACATAGTGCCTCAACCAACTACGCTACCGCGTGCCCCCCCCCCCATATTTCAATTCACATACTCTTAGAAAACAGTTCAAAGTTCTCCTTAATTTGGTAGTAAAAAGTAAGGCAGAAAGCTCTTGTCCCAGATGGGAATCAAACCTTGATTCCTCAATCCTCCAAAACCCACAGTCTAATCATAATCTTAACTTATGTGTATGTGTGTGAATGAAATTTATGTTCCTGCATACAGAAAATTTAACCTACATAAAATGGGCGTCCTGGAAAACGATAGACAGGAAACGTGAACATGATGAGGAATCCTTCTACCATATACTTTATCAGGGGCCAGTTTTGGCTAGGCACAGAACAGAGATGTCTGGTTCTGCATGATAAGAAGTGACTGATGTTGGGAGGGCCTTGATTAGAATGGGTCTGGCTCTAACTTTAGAGTCAGGACTCTTCAAAGGGCCCTAACAAGATCATGGACACCCACAGTGACCCAGCAGTGGTATGAGTACTTGGGGCATGTGAAACAGTTGTGCTCCCAAAGCCAAAGCAGAAAGTTTGCCTCATAACTTGCCACATACAGCTTCAAATAGATTCACTGTCACTGCTATACAAGATTCTTGCCATAAACAAACCCATGAGCGGTACTTACCTGATGTGGGGCCGCTTCTTCAGAAGACTCATGATGCTCCTCTTTTCAAAGGTGTGGCCACACTGCTTGATGCGGACAGGATCTGTCATCCTCTGCTTTGTTATTGGATCAACAGTTAATGTTTCAGCATCTACGAGTGTGAGTTCATCGTCACCGCTAACTTCAGCTGTAAAATACAACAAACAACATGATGCAGGGAAGCAATGAGACATAATGAATGCTACAGTCAGTCTAAAGGTGTGTACTGAACTGATACATACGAGGTGTATCGGAAAGTTCCCAGACTGTTATTGTTGTAACTGCCTCGGTGAAAGAAGATTGGAGGGAAGGCCAAGGTCACACTTCTGCAAGCCTACTGCATCAGTCTGCCACGTTACATTGTGCTGCAAGCATGCATTGTTTTTATACAAGTGCTTTCTCGACTTCATATTTCATTTTGTCTGTGATGGATGGCAAAATTGTGCAACATGTCTGCATCAAGTTTTGCACGAAGCTCAGTAAATCCACTACCGAATCCTTTGAAATGCTTTGTGAGGCTTTTGGAGGACATTCTTTAAGCCAGACAGTGGTTTTTGAATGGCATTCATGTTTCAAGGCTGCTCGAGTGGCAGTTGAAGATGACGAATGTTCACAGCGACCAAGCACCAGCAAAATGACAGAAAATATTGAAAAAATTCAAGAACTCCTTCATGAAGACCATTGCCGAACAATCCATGAGCCTGCACTCACCGTTGGGATCAGTTATGGAGTTTACCAGGAGATCTTAAGAGAAAATTTGAACATGCGCAGCAGTGCCAAAAAGTTTGTTCCCCGGATCTCGACAAATGATCAAAAGCAGCGGCACATAAACATGTATCTTGAGCTATGAGAGAAGGCTAACAAGGACCCAACTTTTACGAGTATTTCTAGGACAATAACCGTTGACAAAAGTTGAATTTACAATTATGATCCAAAAATAAAGCATCAATCATAACAGTGCAAAAGCACACAATCACCAAGAACAAAAAAAGGCGCAGCAGATCCAGAGTTCAACAAGGAGCATGCTCAATGCTTTTTCGACGTGAAGGTGATTGTTCACCATGAATTTGTTCCTCCTAACACTACAGTCAACTCTGACTTCTACTGTGACATTTTGAGACGCTCGAGAGAAAATGTGCTACGAAAAAAAACAGAACTTTGGCGCACCCACAACTGGCTCCTTCTTCATGATAATGCACTCACCCACACATCCCTGAAAACCACAGAGTTCGAGACTAACAACATGGTTATCGTGCCTCATTCTCCCCACTCACCGGATTTAGCTCCATGATTCCGCTTTGCTTTCCAAATTGAAAATGAAACTGAAGGGATGATGTTTTGAAACAGTGTCTGACATCCCAAGGGAGTGGCAAGCGGCACTCTCAGCAGCATTGAGGAAAATGACTTCCACTGTACTTTTGAAGCATGGAAAAAATGACTGGATTGCTGTATACGTTCCCAAGGAAACTATCTTGAAGGAGATGGCAGCCAAAATTGAGTAAGTTAAGTCAGCATTTATTTTATGACCTAGTCCAGGAACTTTCTGATAGCACCTCACATATCGGACACTCTCCAGTCTCGTTTCTGTGCAAAAAACAGGTTTCATAAGCTGGCTTTGCTTCTGTCATGAAGTAAAAGTATAAACCCCGCATTGTTGGGTCCATTAGACCTAAGTAAACTGTATCCCACCTTCTTTCCACACACTATCATATTCATGATTCATTAATCACGCCATCATTCGTCACTAGATATGCATATCCTGACATATGCATGACTTGTGTGCCCAGGAGTGGTCATGTAACTTAATTTCTTTTACTCTTTTGGTTACATAAATTAAATAAAACTAAAAAAATATGTCATAAACCTCATACTATTCATTAAGCCATTTACAAATCCTATTTTTGCTAAATGATGTTAATAATTTCATAATTTTCAAAACTTCTGTCTTCAGGAATATTATGCAATATAGTTTGTCAATGTGCTATGCAGTATTAGTATGTTAACACAAACTGTGAGAACCACAAATACTACAAATTTAATATTCTTTTGGATTTGAGGTTCTAACAGCAGTGTCTATGAAGTGTACTATTTTCTAGGAAATGAAACCATGTAGTCTGGTAGAAGTTAACCAACATTTTTGAGGAAGTCTGTGAACTTCTACTGAACTACATGGCGTCATATCCCACAAGACAGTAGTCTTAAAATAATTCCATTATATTTTAGTTTTCACTAAAAACAAATTGATATGATATTGTGTTAACCCAGAATCATGAAGCTGAAGTTGCAACATCTCAGGGGTTAACCAATAAGAAGTAACCAGGGAAGCAAGTAAACCACAGGAAGTAGAAATGTAACCCTTACCTTTCATCAGAAGTTCAGTGTTCTTTATAAAGTTGATGTACTTTTCATGTTTCTTTGGGTTGGGAGCACGAGAACTTCTCTTCTCCATCTCCTCATTGAAAAGCTGCAATCATAACAAGCAGCATGAGAGACAGTAACCAAAGCACAACAAAGAAGCATACAAGGTGTAGCAACAAATTCCAGAAATGAAAGCATGGAGCAGCAGTCCATCAGCCAGTGTATGTGTTGTTTGAGTGATCTTGCAAACTAACTGCTAGTTACTCAAGCCATTTAGTTCCAAGATGTTCCGTTTAGTTTTTATAACCTTTCTGTGATCAAGTGTACTGTTGCCATGTCACGTTCAGTATGGAGTCAATATAAAAGGAAAGAATTTGTGTTAAATTTTATTTCAAAGCAGAAACCCACAAAACATTGCGTGAAGCTTATGGTGATGATGCCTCGAGTCAAGCAACAATCTAAATGTTTTAAAAATGGAAAAACTTCAATGGATGATGATGAGTGGCCTGGCAGACCTTCAAACTCAAGATCCAAACCTCTGACTGTCCAAGAAGTTGCAGAAAAATCTGGAATAACCATTGGTTCAAGACTCTTTTGACTGATGATCTCCAAAATCTCCTAAAAAAAGCAAATGACAAAAATATTTTGAAACATGTCATTACCAGTGATGGGATGTGAGTTTATGATTACGATATTAAATCCAAACAATAATCCTCACACTGCAAGAGTCCTCGTTTCACCTCACCCCAAGATGGCACAATAGGTGTGCTCATGAGTTACAACAATGTTCTTTGCTCTTTTTCGATCATCGAGGCATTGTGCATTATGAGTTTGCTCCTCAAGGTCATACAATTAATCCAGATTTTTTTCTAGTGGTTCTGAGATGTTGGCGGGAAGCTGGCTCCTCCATCATGATAATGAACTTGCTCACAGAGCGAGCTCAATTAGACAATTCTTGGCGAAACATTCAATTCCTGCCCTTCCAGAACCCCCACTTTCACCTGACCTCTCCTCTCCCGACTTCTTTCTATTCTCTTAACCCAAATTACCCTTAAAGGAAGATTTCAGAGAGTGGAACGCATCATCACTAATGCACTGAATGACTTGAAGGTGGCACCACAAACATCCTTCAAACAATGCTTCCACAAATGGAAGAGGCAGGGGGAGAGGTGCATTGCTGCACAAGGGGATAATATTCAATAAGCTCTAAGTAGAGGGGCATATTATTTATAGACTATTTCGGAAACTTTCTGAACACACATGGTATCAACATAAGATTATGATACAAAACTCCTATTACATTACAGGTAATATTTATTACAATCCTGTCAACATAATACTATTCCCAGCATGTGCAGCTGCTCTTTAAGATGATCTGTTTTGGCACATGTGCCATCTTCAGGTCGTTTTTAATTGCAATTACTGTATCCTGTACTTAGTGTAAATTTCCACATAAGTCAGTTGGATTCACTGGTGTTTTATGTATTATATACACTATATTATATTGGATTGGAACTGTGACAGCACAGTCAGTAGTGCAACTGGCTACAGGCTGGACGACAAAGAGCTTGGAGTTGGATTCCCGGTAGTCATCCAGACTAGTTCTGGGGCCCACTCAGCCAACCCACTGGGGTCTCAAAAACGTGGATCTATACGATGGGAAGTCATATGTTTTAATTATCACCATGAGAAAATCATAATTCCAAAATATTGTTCCATGTAGGAGATAGCTTGTCGAACAGTCAAATTTTCCCATACCAAGTGAACAGACGAAGCCACTGGAAGGGGCAGAAGCAAAATGGCGAGGTCAGTTGAGTAAGTGGAGGCTGGTGCTGTGATACGGTTCCTGCATTTGAGAGGGAAGTCTGCCAGGGAGATCCACGACCAGATGACCGCTGTGTATTAAGAATGTGTACAATCATATGACACAGTGGTCAGGTCGACAAGGCGCTTTCATTGTGGACAGACAAACCTTGAAGATGAACCCTGAAGTGGAAGATCATCTCTCACTAGTGTAACATGTTGCGCAATGGAGAACCCCTCCCTACCCAGCACCAATACGCGACAATTGGTGTCAGAAGTGGGATCGGGTTCTCCGTTGGGAACCGGGAATTGTGGCACAGGTGGAAAGCTTTGATCCTATCCAATAGGCGCATTAACTCCATCCATCCATCAGTAATCTGTCAGACGACAGGTCCACAGTCTCTTCCAAAACAGTTCCTCCACTTAATGCGATCCTCTGTTTTTGGAAAGAGACTATCCAGGAAAAGTGATAATGTGGTAGTTTTTCCATTTGCTTTCCACATCGCAGTACAGCAGCCGTTCAAACCACTCTGGTCACGCCTGTTGCTATACGAACTTGAACCATCTCGAGCATCATTTGCTCTGTGCTTCAAGTCGCTGCTGATGACGCTGCTTCCGGCAGCTATTGTTCGTGCGGTCCGCATCATCCATGACTAGTTACACATGACAAAGGTCACTGCATGCTGGGTGGCACATTTGTTGACACCAGTTCAAAAACAGCAAAGGATGGATGTGGCAAAGAAACTTTTGCATTTCTGTCATGATGAAAAGGTGGAATTTTTCAACTGCCCGATCATGATGGATGAATGTTGGGTCTATCATTATGACCCTGAAACAAAGGAAATGAGCAAGCAGTGGAAACATGCAGACTCGACGCCACCGAAGAAGACAAAATCCCAGCCGTCATCAGGAAACGTGATGTTGAGCATGTTCTGGGATTGGCAGGGTGTCATCATGACCAACTACATGCAAAAGAACGTCACCATCAATGGTGAGTACTACCGGAACCTTCTAAGAAAATTACGGAAGGAAATCAGGAAAAAGCGGTGCAGAATGCTGGGAAAATGTAAGCGACTTCTTCATGACAATGCTGCTCATGCAATGACGACACTTGCTGCCAGTTTGGGATATGAAATTCTCCCCCATCCACCACATTCACCAGACCTGGCACTGAGTGACCTCTTCCTTTTTCCACGGCTAAAGAAGCCACTTCATGGTAAGCGATTCCAAGACGATGATGATGTCATGCCTGCAGTGGACTTCCTAAACAGTCGAAATGATACCTTCTATGATCAAGGTATCCAGCAGATAATGTGTGGCCTTGCAGGGGGCATATGTAGAGAAGGACTTCCTCTTCTTCTATGGCGCAACAGCCCGATGTCGGGCCTTGGCCTCCCTTATCAAGCCCCTCCATTCCTCTCTATCCTGCGCTGCTCTCTTCCAGTTCCTTACGCCCAGGACTAACTCATACAATTTCTTGCACTTGTGTCTCTGTTTCTTCTAGACGATAATTAAAATGTTATGACTTCCCCAAGTACATACACTTTCCCATACATCTTCATGACAGTGCTTAATTAGTTAAGCACAGGGACAATTTTACCTTTACCTTTTACTATAATGGTTTGGATTTTTATATTATCATTGTTTTGGACTGATAATTAGTTTTATTCGACGTTTATAACTCAAAACTACAAATGACTGTAACAGTCTCACTAATTTACACACTATAAATCACTACAGAACATACAAAGTCTTCTGTTTGTTTTTCTGTTGTCATTAGTCGTTACCAGGTAGCGGCTACCAACAACTAAGAGTCCTCACAACCAACCACGAACTGCCATTGCTCACTTGCACAATTGTTAATGACTGATTATGACCTCTTTCAATCTGCCATAGACTGCAGCTATCATTTTCATCCCAGTGTAACATCATAAATGTTCAACTTTTAGTTCAACAGATGTTGACCGATATTTTGGATCAGGACCAGTGTTTCCGATTAGCACTGCTAAGGCGCCCAACAGAATAGATTTCTTTAATTTTTCCAGTCACATGGTGAAAAACACAGACTCAGTTTCCAAAATATTTTGAACTGAACACACTGAAATGACTGTGAAGAAAGCAGTCTTCTGGGATTTGGCACCGTGTATATGTGGTGTTAACCGACGTTTCGGAGGAACGTATCGCCCCCATCTTCAGGGTTGAAGAAGTATAAGTAAATCTGCAAGCGACAACACCGTGAGACACGGTCAAGCAGACTCGCCTCACGGTGTTGTCGCTTGCAGATTTACTTATACTTCTTCAACCCTGAAGATGGGGGCGATACGTTCCTCCGAAACGTCGGTTAACACCACATATACACGGTGCCAAATCCCAGAAGACTGCTTTCTTCATAGTCACCGCCGTGAAAGCCTCAAATCTTACACTGAAATGACTGTTGATATCCAAAATATCAGTCAAAAAAACAGTTGTTTCATTTGAAGAAGAACCTTAGAACTGCAGAACGAATAGATGCGGTAGCATTACGCACCTCACGGACGTTTGGATTGTGTCCATCAGTTCCTTCGCTGTTTCCTGCTCCACTGCCACTGTTCTCCTCCAAAATCTTCTGAACGTTAAGAATGGAAGCTTTAGCTATCCCATGCTTGTTATCAAGGAAGCAGCATGTGCCCATAAGATCACTAAGTTTCTTCAGTTGTTCTTTTCTGTCTTCCCCTGCAGATGAAAATATGGACATACATTGTCATGGTACATACATACATACTTACTTACTTACTCAAGGATCTGAGCCCTTCTGGAGGAGCTGCCAATTCTGCAGCTACTCAAAAAATTCCCAGCATTTTATGGAACCTGAAGGTTCATTACCATGTTCAAAAGAGCCCTCAACTGGTCCTTCTCCTGAGCCAGATATATCCAATCCATAACATCCCATCCTATCTCTCTAAGATCCATTCTAATATTGTCCACCCATCTACGCCTTGGTCTTCCCTGTGGCCTTCTGGCCTTCCCACCAATATCCTATATGCATTCCTCGTCTCTCCAATTCATGCTACATGATGTGCCCGCCTCATCCTCCTTGACTTGAGCATTCTAATTATTCTTGGAGAAGAGTACAAGTTATGAAGCTCCTCATTATGCAGTTTTCTCCAACCTCCTGTCACTTCATCTCTCTTCAGTCCAAATATTCTCCTCAACACCCATTCTCAAACACCCTCAGTCTGTGTTCCTCCCTTAATGTTAGAGACCAAGTTTCACACCCATACAGAACCACAGGCAAAATTATAGTTTTATATATTCTAATTTTTATGTTTTTGGACAACAGATGAGAAGACAAAAGGTTCTGGCCTATCATGGTACATATCTGTAACAAAATAAGCTATCCCTATAACAGGTTGTGGAGGCCCATTGGGTTGTGGGACATCGAGGCTCCCACATTTTCCAGACGATTCCTGGTAATAATTTCTGTTAGACGCTGAGTCGACCCCAGGGCCATAGTGTGGCTGGAAGCGTTAGGTAAACTGAAAAATCCAATAACCTCATCAGGAATCGAACCTGCAATCTTTCAGCTTGTACCATGGTACCTCAATCAACTGCGCTACCACATGCAATCTGTAGTTTAACAATCAACAGTGCAAACATGACATATTCTTGTTGTACATGATACCAAAGGATTTGCAAGGGAATCTGTGGGTTGTCAGGAATTATTTAACATAGAGTCATATCCAGGCACAGTTCTGGTAACACAGACATTGGACATATACTTCCTCAAATATGACTGACAACGACTGCGTTACCTGCAAATTAAACTGATCACTGTCTGGCAGATTACTGTTCGTTACTGAATGCTGAACGACACAAATCTGTGACCAGTAAAGCCAGTCTTGACAAAACCGATTTTTCATGTTTGGGCCCCTAGTGTGTATGCAATTATTTTCCAGAAGATGGCACCTAAGCACTTTTTTTATGGTAATTGTCTCAATAAATTTCTGAAATGTAAAGAAACTTGTTCCAGCTGTTTTCAAGAAAATCACACTTTTGTGCTCATGAGCCCATCTCAGTGACCATTATTTTTGGATCTGGAATACTCGTACTCACAAGGCACTGGCCTGTCACAGATAAATTCTTAAACACAAAATATGAATGCAATCTGTTAAGCTCTTTAGATGCTAGTAAGGCACATATAAGGCCACGCCATAGCTCAAGCGGTTAGCCGCTGGCTTCCCACTGTGGCGGCTCGGGTTCGATCCTGGGTCTGGTCAAGTGGGATTTGTGGTGGACAAAGTGGGGCTGGGGCAGTTTTTCTCCGAGTACTTCGGTTTCCCTTGCTAATCTTCATTCCACAAACTGCTCCACAATCACCCTCACCTATCATCTGGGGCTGGTACAATAGGCCAGAAGTGGCCGCAGTACGAGGGACTTCGTCCCACCCCACTAGCAATAAAAAAAAGGGGGGGCACATATACATGATTAGACAATATAGTTCATGAACTCATTGTGGTAAAAGCGCTACATACCTCACTGCTGAATATCACTGTGGTTACCTTCAAAGTACTCTCCTTGGGAAGCTATGCACCTATGCCAGCACTGGTTTTGTGGAATAGCCTTCAGAGCTGCCGTCAGATTACTCCCAATGCCCTCAATGTTATCAAAATGCTTTCCTTTCAACATTCCCTTTATCTTCAGGAACAGAATAAAGTTATGGGGGCTAGATCCAGAGAATAGGGAGGGTGTTCCAGAACAGTTATTTGTTTACTAGCTAACAACTCCCTCACAGACAGTGATCTAATTCAAGCTCCAACATTCTCACGACGTCACACCAAAACATACTCAGACAATAACAGATGCCACTCGAAAAGAGACTGCCACAGATCAACTACAACACAGTTGTGAAACGCTGATATGGCAACATCATCAAACCATACTGAGGTTTCCGTCCACAGCTGCCACAGCAAGCACACGGTGGTGAGTTCGCAAACTTTATTGTCAGACCTCATATGCACACATAAATGCAGACAAGAGCATTTCAAAAACCACTTCTCCATATTCAAAAGGCGTCAACATGTGTAAAACTATCAACATCTCAGATACATTTTCTCTTTCATGATAACAGTACTTCCACATAAATACTACATACATCAGAAACCAAAATGTGCTTTTTGAAAATGTAGGCACAGCCGAAGAAATACCTTGCGGATTTCTTGTGACTGTACAGTAACAATTTATACCTTACTGCAGGTGTAGAGAGGCTGTTCAGCTATTTACCTTCCTGCTATCACTGTACAGCCTGACAGGGATCTGCAACAGTGTGCAGAACTGCAATTTTCATGGCTGTACAGGAACATTTTATAGCTTACTGTAGGTGTAGAGAGGTTGTAAAGGTATTTAGGTTCCTGCTGTCACTGTACAGTCTGATAGGGACCTGCAAGTGTGCAGAACTGCACTTTTCATGACTGTACAGGAACATTTTATACCTTACTGTAGGTGTAGAGGATATAAAGCTATTTAGGTTCCTGCTGTCACCATACAGACTGATACGGACCTGAAACAGTGTGCAGAACTGCACTTTTCGTGAGACTACCAGAACCTTTATAGCTTACTGTAGGTGTAGAAAGGCTGTAAAGCTATTTAGGTTCCTGCTGTCACCATACAGACTGATACGGACCTGAAACAGTGTGCAGAACTGCACTTTTCGTGAGACTACCAGAACCTTTATAGCTTACTGTAGGTGTAGAAAGGCTGTAAAGCTATTTAGGTTCCTGCTGTCACCATACAGCCTCATAGGGACCTGCAACAGTGTACAGACCTGCACTTTTCGTGACTGTACAAGAACATTTTATAGCTTACTGTAGGTGTAGAGAGGCTGTAAAGCTATTTATGTTCCTGCTGTCACCATACAGCCTGATAGGGACCTGCAACAATTTGCAGACATGCACTTTCTGCATTGGCAGAGAAGGGGGTCCTGTAATTTTATGCATTATTTTAGGAGCTGAAGTATCACAAAGTTCGAAAACTCCTGATGCATACGTACTTTTAAAGTCGACCAATGAAAATTAACTTGGAAACAGATTACATTTTACACTGAAAATGGATGCAGTATGATCCTCTGAAACACTGCTAACTGCCAAAAAACTGCTGTGTGTCATAACCCAGATGACCACACCATGAAAGTGGACCACAGCAAAAACCTCAAATATCACAAATATTAAGATGAACATCATCCCTTCTTTGAGAAATATTTGATGTTTATGATGTTTTGGGAGTTGGTTCTACTGCAATCTTCATGTGAGTGGTTGTCATTCTCCTAATAGATTTTTATTCATTCTCTTTATCAGCTTGCTACTAAGAAATCTGTCTCAAGCAGTAACATTTCTTATTTGTGCCAGGCTGGTATACCAGCTCTACTATGGAATGCTGTGGCTTTCCTTCAGTCCCTCCAGACAAATCCTGGGACAGTACCTCACAACAGGCCACAACCAGTCATTTCACATCCTTTCCAATTAATTATTCACTAACCAACCCACCATTTGTTGCTATATATTTTGAACTACTGACAGACTAATTCAATGAGCACAAGAAAATAAAAAGTCACTAGGGAAGGGCATCTGCACCAAAACAGTTTCCCTACTAGTCGGATATAATTTAAAAAATCACAGTAATTTTCAAAAAGCAATGATGAATGTGCAAAATAGACTTCCAGGGTTTCAACCTGGTAAGGTATGGATTTGGGCGATTTTGTAGGATTTGAAGTTCTGACATTGTAGGTTATGAAGAACTCTATAATCTGGGATAGAAGACCATGCAACTGAGTTTTTCTTGTCAGGATTGCTTATAATAGTTTATATTGGATTGAGGACGGGAACTGCATTGTCCACTTCCACCAATAAAACAAGGCAACTTTTCCTGCAAGATAAACTTCAAGATGGTCAAATTGTGGGTGAAATGGGTCAAACTATAACCAACAATATCACTATTGTATACAAGTACTCTGAAATGTGCAACTTACCGTCACAGAATTTTATTGCTAATTCCGAACATCTCTTGATGGATTCCATTGTCCACTTCATCTGTGTAGCCCTTCCCTCATCTGAATAACATGACATGACTCTAATCCTAACCTATACGATGAAAACTTTGTCATATATCTGAACAGTTCAGCCTCTTGCCAGATTGGTAACCTGAATATCCAGCTTATTACGTTTTCACAATATTTTAATCTCACTATATTATTTGTCGAAAAAAATCCACCAACATGCGAATTACTACCGCCACCACCTAAATACTTGCCAACCGTTGAAAACTCAATTACACTCAATTACGCTTAATGATTTTCGCGGGCAACACATCCACCGTGACGACCGTGACGTCATGAACGGTCATGAAAGCAATACTGCTGCCACAATATTGGAGGCAAGTTTATTGATACAAAATGGCTACCGCCAGTACTCTCCGCCCTGTCGGTAAGTAAGTATGCTATCATATAACTAGCCTTTGTGTACTGCCCCCTTCCAAAGAATCAATAGTTCACAAAAATAGCGATAATTTTGCAACCCTGACCTCTTGTACTGCAGAGATATTTACTCCATTGCCTTTTCTGAAGCAAGTTTAATATCACTTCACTCATATCCATGGGGAGGGGTATGAGTGAAGAGATATCAAACTCGGTTCTGAAACAAAAAACACACAATGGAGTAAGAACCTCTGCAGTGCAAGAAAGCAGGTTGCAACGTTATTTATCGGGAGAAAGTTTCTCACCAGTCCCTCTAAATTAGGAACACTTAATTTACATCAATTCAACACCCCCTAACTGAAATTAAATGGAAACTGACGATGGTGGATGACACACAGAATTACTGGGTTTTTGGACTTTTCCATTGTCTTGCCTGGAATTCTAGGTAATAGAGGACACAACGTTTCGGAAACTGGGTCTGTTTCCGTTTTCAGGCGAGAAATGAAGACACATACTCAGTTGGGCTCCTTAGAAAGAGCTAATCTCAATCACTGGGTCCAGTGAGAGCCTAAAAGTTGTTACGAGAAGATTAAAATGATGTATATTAAAAATATATGGTTGATGTGAACTGGATTCATCTGGGTTAGATTAAGTACCAGTGATGTGTTCTTGTGAACATGGTACTGAACCTTCAGGCTCCATAAATTACAGGGATTTCTTAACTACCTCAACAACTACTACTACTGTTCTGTTCCATAAGTACTGTCTCAGTGAAAATGATATAAGCATCCTTCATGAGAGAGGTAACGCTTTCAGGGTGTATTTGGGAGGCACTTCGGTTCAAACCTCAGCTGGAATACTGAATATCCAGACTGAGGTTTTTCACAGCTTCCTCAGACCCTCTAGATAAATGTTGGAACAGTACCTTAATTAGGCCATGACTGCTTTCTACCTAATCCTTTTTTAATCTGTCATCCATCAGTCTCCCTTTGATTTGACACTACAATCCTGATATTGACAGGGTTGCAAAATGATTCACAATCTAAAACTCATTCAATTTCCTGGCATGATCTGGGCCACTAAAAGCACCATTAATTAAACCAACAGTACATAATATAATAAGATGGTTTCAATTTATGCTGAGAATACAGGTATCCCTTGATTTATGAATGCAATTCATTGCATGAAAACTGTTAAGGTATAACTCGTAAACCGAAAATGTTATTCCCATTACTTTATATGTAAAAGTTGTAAACTTTATCGTGATTTCCTAAAAAATTCATCATTTTTAATGTACGTTTTATTAGTAAATAAGCATTAAAATAAGGATAGCATTACTTACGATATTTATTGTTGCAAATAAAACTGTATTACTTTATTCACATTTATTTTCTCACAGCTTATGCAGTGCAACATTGCAGCTTGTAGCCCAACTTACTCTCTCCATACTTACAGATTCTGAAGAAAGTGTGACAATGAAACACACTTCAGCATTTTACAAATAAAGTAATACACATCCTGACACGCAAGACTCATTTTATTGTTTACAGATACCATTATCATTATATTATTATTATTATTACTACTATTATCATCATTATTGTTACTACATCAAATAAGGCACAATCCAATTTCTTCTACTTCACTGAAATATACACTCATGGCCAGAAAAAACTTCATCCAAGACACAACAATCATTGGCATATCAACTTAACAGTACAATTATTGTGTTTCTGGAAATTACCCATAATCCTGTTTTTATTTAAAACACACAAAGTTTTGGAGACTTTAAGATCTTAATTAAATAATAATGGTTAAAACCGGCCACGATATGTTATGAGAAATCCTAATTATCTATTATGAAATGGAGTATAATCAAGAGTTCGGCGAATGAAATTTCAATCAATTTCTGATAATTACCATCTTCTAGGATGTGACACCAATTTGCCTCATGGAAAGCTATCAACACCTCCAATTTCAGAGAAGAGCCTAGAAATTATCTACACAGACTACACAGCATCTATGCCAGAAGACAGGAATCTTCAAATCCACTGCCATGAAGACCATATATTTCACAATTTCAGATAGGTTATTAATATTAAGTGTTTCTGAAATCTATTCAATAAAATAGCAGACAAGCTCTGTGTGGGAAGACAACTGAAAAATGTATCCCATTATGCAATTGGTTTTCTTTTCCATTGAACACCTTATCTTTTAGGGTCAGTTTTTCATAACTCTTTAAGAAAAGACAGCATGTCCTATTCCATCGCAATCGCCTCACAATTGTTGGCATCTTCACATGTTTCTGAACTGGAATGATGATATACAAATGTCGACTAAAAATTTTATTTCCTGCGACTACTACATAAAAAAAAGAAAACTTCGTGGCCTCTAGTCACAAATGAACCAAACGCACCAAGCGACTGCCACTTGTTGGCGAAGTTAGTGCCAGCACAGGTAAAAAATGAAACACTACAATTCCAAGATTACAGTCTTCTTTGGTTGTGATGCCATGAAGTCTGATAGCTAGCAACATTAGAGGGGAATCTACTGCCTCCAATGTCAGATTGTGTATTTCTACACTGAACTTGAAGGCAGAGGGTTCTTCAAAGATATGTGTAATGTAGCCATCAGACTGTACACTATCCCAGATAAGAGAAATACTAACATTCACTTCTCTGAGAACCTCATATCTTGTAAAATGTACAGTCAGTTAAGAACCATGTTTATGATACACATGGCTTAAGAATGATAAATTTGGTCTGCTATGGGAACAAGAGTGTGTCAGTTGGCAATGTACACAATTATGTCACCATTTAAAAGTTACTAGATTTTATTTCCAACATATTTCCAGTGTTCATATGATGGTACTTACACAGCACTTTTCTTGCATACAGCTGGCTACACAATGTATGACGTGCCCTGGTTTGAAGAGAATATGGATTTTAATAATTTTGGTTTGTTAGATCAGGTACGAAAGTCACCATTATCTACTATTGAGAACTGAAGATGTTTGTCACATAAAAAGAAATAAGTAAAAAATTATCTTGCTCATAATTTATATTGCTTTCATAATTCTAGTAAATATGTCTGTTTCAAAATATACAGAGTAATGGAAGAGATATTTTCTCAGTTCAGTGTGTAAAATAAAAATATAATTAAAAAAACTTAACATTTCATAGGAATCACTTGGATCTCTTACTAAAGAAAATGTGTTTATTATTGCACTTAAAATTAATTACTTTCATGCAAATAGAACTGTCTGTATTGTATCACTGCCAACATTACAACTTTCACGCTGATTGCCTGACACCAGAGACGTAAAGGGTTTCATGCGTCTCTTTTACATGCATTTCTTTTTTATGAATGTTACCATATAGAGGCCTGTCAGACATATGATGAAGCGGTATTCATATGCATGAACAGGGAATAAGAAATTTCATCACCAGAATGTTTACTTACACTTGTGTAATGTCTATTCAGAATCCAATGGGAAGTCTCTTTATCTGTTATATAATCTTTATTGCCTTTATCTCTTTCCCCACTTACTCCAGTGTTCCTTTTGAATCTCTTTCATTTATATATCCTATCATTTATATCTTTCCACCTTCCTTTCTTCCTCTCTATATACCGACACAGTTTAGGTAAATATCATTCAAAATGTGCCCAGATATGTTGCTTATTTCATTTAATCATTTTTATACAGATCAAAATATGGTAAACACTGTATTAGATAGAGTGTTTCTCCATTTTGCTTCCACAGAAAGTGTGTGAGAGCAACACAATGACAAACAATGACATAATTATATATTGGTACAGTTACACCAACATAATTACACCCTTTCAATAATAAGGTGAATGAGATATTTCTTACCCTTCATAATGGAATATTTTTATGTCTGGATACTGAAAAATATCAACTAATGGAATGCATGTCTTTGAGCTTGAAGGTAACACAGACCATCAGAAAATAAATAAAATTCACTAGATGCATATCCAGTGTTGCGGCATTTTTAGGTTTGTAAGTACAGGCTATGACACAAGCATAAGAAATTACAAGGACTACATCTTGTAATCTGATATGTGCATACCTCAAACATGATTAACAAAGAAGAAAGCAGTCTTCTGAGATGTGGCACCGTGTAAATGTGGTGTTAACCGACGTTTCGGAGGAACATATCACCTCCATCTTCAGGGTAGATGAAAAAATAAGAAAATCCGGAAGAGACCGTTCCTCCAAAACGTCGGTTAACACCACATCTACATGGTGCCACATCCCAGAAGACTACTTCCTTCATAGTCACCGCTGTGAAAACCTCAAATCTTACATGATTAACAAAAATGAATAAAAATTGAAGATTATTGTCTTTTCAGATATTACAGCATGCAGTTTGATAGATCATCAAAAACCTTTCAAAGGAACCTGCTGCTTCACCTTCAGTGTAGAGGGACATAACAGAATCCTCCAAAACAATGCTAATTACCTATTAAACCACAGGGCATCATACACCAGAAGAAACTAATTTTCATATTCACAGCCATGAGAACCTCAGGTCTCACAAATTCTGTCTTGCTGGTATTATCTACTTTGGTACATGATGATATGGAATAATGTAATTGTCAGCTGATTTATACATCAGTCTTACAGAAGACAAACCAGAAGTGGCCATTCTTCCCCTGGGATACGTTTGCCTTCCTTGCCTATATCACAGCATGCAGCATCTTTAAGGAAGGAATAACACTTCAATTCAGAAATTAAAATTTAATCATGCTGAATTTGAGGTTCTCACAGTAGTAACTATGAAGATTACTATCTTCAGAGATGTTATGCTGTGTCCAGTAGATGCTGATGTTTTGGAGCTAGCTCCATCTTCAGGGCTGAAGACTGTGCGAAGCAACAACCAGCAAGAATGAATTTTTAGTGGAGTACATGGCATCACATCCCAGAAGACAGAAATACTGATTCATGTACAAGTGTATGAAGATAATCTCTACCTCTGTGGTCATACTGACAAGACATCTATTTTACACTGCTAGCTCAGTTCTTGTTGCATTTGTTTTCTTGGGAGGACACATTCCTTTGATTTGTTAGACAGTAAAGTGAAACTTGTGGAAATAACAATGGGGAAGAAATCTGGACACAATCACCAGAAGTCAAACAGAAAATTCAGACTGCACCATCGTGGCACAACAACATGGCCTATAAATTCGGAAAATTAACACTTCTAGATATATAAAATGTAGAAATAATTTTTCTATGCATAAATCTACTTGGTAAAGTGTAAAATACACGATTTTGAAGATCATAACACTTGCACCTAAACAAATTTAAGCACAGGTAAATATTTCTTTTTTAGATTTTGATTTATAATTGCAAGATGTAAGGTTTACCTTGTAATGTCTCTTACTTCTTACATGATGGCTATCTGCTACAAAAGATTTAACCATTTGACACACCACCAGATCTAATACATTTCGTTTGAATTTTAAAATCAGATATCTCGGTTTGACATTTGAATTGGAACATGATTTTGAAAATGTCATACCATGAAAGAAGACAGCTCTGGTTAGAGACTTTTGGTTCTGCATGGTTACAGCCAGCAAATATTGTGAGGGCTCATTCAGGATGATTATGACTCCAGCATTATAGTCAGGCTTCTCTGAAGGGATCTAACAAGAACAGAAGCACATAACGGGCCCAGCAGTGGTCAGAATGCTTGGTGTGACTGACAGTCATACGCCCCCTAGTCAGTGCCAATATCAACAAAACAAAGTGATTTTCATTTATGTGAAAAGGAGGTACAGTAATGGATCAAACTTGAATTTATTTTCCTGAAATTTAACCCTTTCACAATCCACCCTAAATAAACTTGTTTTCATTTTGTTCCATATTTCCTTCACATCAACACTGAATGCATTCATGTTAGATGTTTTCAAGTATACATCCCTATTCAAATAATGTAAGCTGCAGAGACAGAAAACTTTTTTATGTGTAAACTAAGAGAATAAGGGTGGGGAGAAGCAAAATGTGGTCTGGAGGAGGCATCAGTGGGTGAAAACGTGAAGGTGAAAGGGTTAAAAATCAATGAGTACAGACAGACAATGGAGGTGAGATTTTATATGATGGACTGAATCCAGCAAAAGATCTGATAGGGTTAAATATTTTACATCTCTAAGGGGCTAAAGAAATATGGCAGTTCAGATGATATGTGCTCTATAAGTACTCATATCCTCCATCCTTCTCTACCACTGCCATTTTTTATACTTACATGTTCCTATTCCAATAATCATTACACAAAAATGTTTTTTGGTAAAATCCTAATCTTTTCCATAACTGCATACAAGTTTTATACCTTGCTCAATAAAACACCTAAGAATTTACATGTATATATCAATTCTTCCAGTCTCTGCATTTACATGCCCTACAGAGAATACATGTCAGCCAATGTTTTTGAGGATTACATGACTTCTGGCATGTGATGCCGTGTAGTCTGGCAGATAGGTGCAAACATTTTGGAGGGACCTGCTGCTTCCATTTTCATGGTAGGAGATGAAGACATGGGGAACTAGTTCCTTCAAAGAGTTGGTACCTATCTACCAGACTACACGGCATCAAACCTCAGAAGACAGCAATCTTCATGGTCACCATCATGAGAAACTCAAATCCCATGCCATGTCATTTCATGCAAGAAATGTCACTGTACTTGCCCCAATGTAATCCACACTCTTTCTTCCAAAGTACAGCCAAAACCAATTAACTGTGTATTAAATTTGTATACAGTCAATTATATTAAGTACCTTTCTAAGAACATATGACAAGAAATGCTGTTTTTTTTAATTTAACTTTATTTATTTTGTTGTCATAACTAACTCATTAACTCCATGGAGCTGAGATCTTCTTGAGAAGGCAACAGTTGCTCAGCCACTCACGAAGTTCTCAGAATTTTGCAAAAAAAAACTGAAGGTTCATTACATTCATTACCCGAAACTGGTTGAGAAATATAATAGGGGTTAGGATGTTTAATGGAATTTATCCTTTAACTTACCTAAACATACAGCCACCACACATCTAAACACCAGCCCAGGTAGCAACAAATGCTCCCTTGCCAAAATAGAAAGAAATTAAATTTACCACAAACACACCAGATTACTGGGCAACACATAAATGATGATTCTCTAAAGGTTTGTGATAATGGTCTATTTGTTACACTGATATTAAACTGGTCACTATCATCTAGGATGTTTTAGAACATAAAACATTTCAAACTCACGCCACTTCTGGCGACAAATGCAAGTGGAGGGGGAAAGAACACTCATTTGGGCCTGTCAGGAAGTGATCCAGATCTTCTTCTAATGGGCCCAGCTGCATACAATCCTCCCCACAGTGACAATGGAAGTGGAGTCAGTTTCCAAAATATTGTTTATTTTAAATAGATCCAAGGCAATAGACAGTATCAAACGTATTATCTGTGTAACAAGACAATCAAGTCATAACGAATCAAGCAATGAGAGAGATCTGTCAGGGATCAATTCTTGAAATATCTTTCGTTTGGCTGCACATGTATTCAGAAATACCTGCTGTCAGTCGGACACATTCTTGTAACGCTTTCAATGGTCCTACATTTTTAAGATATGCAAATGGGGCATCAAGATGGCTTTAGGCAACACCTTAACAACTTCTGCCTTAAGAACTACATCTATAGTTTAACACACATTACTTTTGTTTTTACAAAACAATAAATTTCTTTATACTCACTGATCACCTAAAGAGCCATTTTTCCAAGCAAAATGTCAAATATGTAAATTGAAGACACAGTGAAGATAATGGTATCTTGGGTCATGGTGCCACAGTTTCAGAGGAACCTGGTGCAGAAGATCGGCAGATTCATCTGTAACACTGGTACCCACCCAGTGACATGCCACCCTTTCCTAGACAATGAACCATTGTATGGGAATGCTGGGTGACACTTGTGGCTGATAATGGCAGATCATACCTGGAAATAACCTGTCTTGCCCTCAATTATCACTGGCATTTTATTTTAGCTTGCCATTAACAGATGGCAGGAAATTGCCTTTCATTACTGTGACAGTTAATTACTCATGATATACAGTTTCTTTATACTTCTAGCCTGTAATCTTGAAACAAATGGCAGGTCAAAAAGCCATAATACTGGTTTAAAAGGTCATTTCACATGCAGCAGCAGGTTATTGAACTGCCCATACAAGGTCTTTATCTTAATACTCATTGCCATGAGAAACTTACATTTCTTAAAGAGACAGCAGATCACTTTTGCAGTTTTATTTGCAAATGGACAACTCATGGAACCAGTAAATGATAAAACAGCTATCCCCTTAATTCAGACTTGTTTCCCATTTTCATTTCATCATACTTCAGTTTCCATTTCAAAATCTAACCCTTTCACCACCAAATGCAGCTATTAAAAATACCTACACAAAATGCCAAGGCTACTCTGAGGTAAATACAGACAAAGCTCTTATCACCTTCAAACGACCACAGGTAAAGATAGTTTAAAAGCCTGTTCTTTCCTCTAAATATGATATACCATATTTGATGCCCTCTATTGAGAGAAGTGTTGTACTAAATGAGTAATACTGAACAAATCCTTTGGTTGTGACAGTTTTAATACAAGTATGTAAAGCCGATTTGATCAGCTCACGGGTATGAAAAGGGTTAAGACCATACTTTTTTCTTAAATCACCCTAGTTTGAAAGCAGCTGAGTCAAAATATGATCCCCAGTGTGCACAGTTCAGTACACCATGCTGCTGCTGCTGCTGCTGATGATCCTAGTTTTCATAAAAAGCCGCTATGTATATGAATTTGACTCTGCTTCTTTCATCAAGTGAACATGATGTGAACAAAATATTACTGTCTTATAAGACATGGTGCCACATAGCCTGATAGAAAGATACCAATGTTTTGGATGAATGCTGTGTCAACATAAAGGACAGAAGAGATGGAGGAAACAAATTACTCAGACACACTGGTACTTTTCTACCAGAGTGCATGGCATCACATCCCACAACACAGAAATCATTATATCTGAAGTTGTGAGAGCTAACAATGCTTTCACAGTTATGGACTATGCATTCTTTTATATTCTGTGGCAATGGCCTTTTGTTGTGGATAAAAAGTCAATTCTAAAAGAAAGCAGGTATTTGGACATGTGACTACATTCATGTCCAGACTCTAATAATCAGAGGAATACAGTGAAACCTCTGTTTAAGATTTCCCAGGAGAGCAGTTGATTTGAACACTGAACTGAGGAAATCTAGTTAACATTGAGATTACACACTTGGGATCAGTTCATGTTAAATGAGGAAACATTAAATAGGAGTTCCACTGTACTTGGTGAAAGAGAGCACAGTGAAATACTTTTCTTCAATGACAGTGCAGCCATACAGAAGAAACTAAAATTATTACTGAAGGCAAGCCTGAAAAGTGATCATAACTGCTCTCTCTCTCTCTGAGCTTACCATTCTAAATACAATACCTATTTATGTGGCCCTACACTCTAATTCTACCCTCTGTGTAAAAATATGAACAGTATCCCCCCCCCCCCCAATGATATTATCTTAAATGCCAGTAATAAAGGCTGACTTTAAAGATGGCAGCTGTACAGCAGTGAAAGTACAATATTCAATTCTCTTTTACAAAGATAGATTCATTGCCATATCTTCTTCTCTGTCTGTTTTCATTAAACGCACATTTTTTGTACCCCTATACTAAATTCATTTTTTTGATATGTTCCCACACACTCCACAACAAACCAACCACCACCAATTGTAACAAATGAAGATATACGTCTGCACCATCTCTCTTTCTGTCACACACACACATTAACAAATCGCGAAGATTACCATCTTCTGGGATGAGACGCCATACGAATGAGTCGAGAAAGTAACCAGACTTACAGTTTGGCCTGAAATGTATGCAGTATGTTCATCTGCATCATCAGTGATCTTCTACCAGACTACATGGCGTCACATTCCAGAAGAGAGAAATGTTTAGTCACCACTCTTAAAACCTATAATCCAACATAACAAATCTTCTTCTACGCTATGATATGTCAGGAGGAGGAAATGCTACCTTCTTCACTTCCATGCACTGTTAACAATAAATAACATCCTAACCTCAGTACACCTTTCATTACTTCAGCCTTATCAAGAACATTAGCTGGCACACACCTCGTTCCCTTTTAAGGGGCATTCGGCACCCAGAAAGCCATCCTTATACACAACCCGTAGAATTCAGAAAGCTGGGACACAAATTTCTGTATCCCAGAGTCTCATATTCTAAATCCTTCCTTATGCAATATGCCATTTTTATAAGTCCAAAAAGATTATTTACAACGAATCCTAGAAAAATTTCAATAGCACTGGTCTATTTTCAAACATAAGATGATTATTAAGTAACTTTACCAGTTTAAATAAAACCAGTCATAAAAATTTTCATGGAGAGCGTGTCCTCACCATTAATGTCACAAACTGCAGAACTTGTTATAACAACCGTGAGATGTCTCCTGCTTCATGAGACACAACATCATGCTGAGGCGAGAGATCAAACTTGCACGCAGTTGACCGGAATTACATGAATTGTCAAATATTCTGTTCTGTCACACCATCTGAATCCACTGCAGCTCATTCTCCTGTACAATTACATCAGCCAGTGAATCTTCATACACATCAAGTTCAATTTTAGCATCATGAGCAGCAACTCTGTTCTGTCATGAGAGGTCCTTGTACTCAGTAATGACAGTCGCTGATTCAAACTTCTCACTGCTATTCACTAAAGACGCAGCAACTGGAAACACTGCTTCCACTGCAAGCATAACTGTGACTTGTGATCAGCCATAAGATGGGATCTTCAGTCTTCGCTGAATCAATGGTTGGCACTCATTGAAGCAGAATGATTTAACTCGTTCAGTTACTTTCTGGTAGAAGGTTCTTCAGCTGGGAACTGAACCAAGTTGATGATGGCACAAAACTTCACTTGATATGAGCTGATATTACATGACTGAAACACACGTACAGAACTGAGACAATTTGGGTGAGTCCATCATTAAGGGGCAGATACAAAAGCATCGCTGTGAGAGAGAACAGGCAGTCAACTGCTTCAAACTCCTGGGTGCCATAAACAAATAACATGAACAGGGAGGATGCTGCTATTCAAAAAGTCACGCGAAACTCTCATTCACTCACTGAAAGTCTGCAAGAAGGCTCCCTCTTAAGATTTCTTATGATTTGGTTCTTGAGCCAGGCCTCTGTGCCCCAACAACAGTCTCAAAACCGTCATTCTTAAGGCATCCCTTCTATCTCCTCCCCCTTCCAATTTCATTTACCCTTCCTCCCTTAAGCTTCTTTATCACCACCCATACTCTGCAGTTTTATCTCTTATTCCTTTCACTCAGCCTTTGCAAAGGGATAAATCATGTAGTAAAATACAGTTGAATACATACCGTGAAGGGTACCATCTTGTGAGAAAACCAACCAAGGTTTTGGGGGGAAATATAATCTACATCTTCAGGGTCAAATAAGCCGAGCAAGATACCAGCATGAAAACAGGTGGCAGGCAAGGTGGAGGAAGCAGGGGAAAAGGTATGAGGAGGAAAAGGAAGAGGGAAAAAAAATGAACAGAGGGAAATTAAGAGAAGGGAAATAAAAAGCAGTAAAGGCATGAGAAGGAAGATGTAAAATAGGAGATGAGTGGGAGACGGTAAGAAATATCAGGCTCCCCTATTGCAGGAGCTGCTCCAAATGCAAGGCTTGATAATTCAAACAATTAAACCTTATTTTCCAGGAACAGGGGATGTTACCCCACTTCTACGTATTAAAGTTAGTTAAAGATAGCATCACACCTTGTCGTTCCTCGTGCAGAACAGTGCTGTATCATCAAATTCCTAGAGGAAGTGAAACCAGCAAAAACTCTGCATAGGTTAAGTGTACAGTATGGGAAAGAGACCTTCATGACTGGTACAATAAGTTTTCTGAAGACTGTACAGAAGTCTCAAACCTACCCCGTTCTCATGTTCAGCCAACAACTGTGCTCAATATGAACACATGTGATGCTGATGTTGGGAAACAAGCAAAGTGCAATGTGTGTGATACTGCATCTAGCAGTGGCATGAGCGCTGAATGTGGAGAATGTGTCTGCTAGGTCTCAAGGACGTTGACATGAGACCAGACGGTGTAGCAGGTTGCTGTGTATGCCGAACATCTGCACTGTTTTCAATTGGAGGGAAGCACATTCTTGGAGCAAATTATGACTAGTGACAAAACGTCAGTTCGGTATTTCACTTCAGAGTAAAAGCAGTCCAGCATGGAACGTCACATGGGATCTCCTTTACCCAAGAAATTCAAAACACAGCTGGCAAATGGTAGGATCATGTCAAGTGTGTTTTTTGTATTCAGAAGGACTGATTCATGTTGATTTCCTTCCATAGCATAGCAACCAATGTATAGCATTACAGTAGCTTACTGTGCAACGATGTGCACCAAGCATTTGAAAGAAGAGACACAGGAAACCGTTCAAGAAGATCTCACTAATGCACGGCAATGCTAGTCCACATACGGCAAATCTGACAAAGGTAGCATCGGCAACAATTGGCTGGGAAATCATATTCAACCTTCCTTACAGCCCTGACTTAGCACCCAGTAATTTTCACTTGTTTGGACATAAATTTGAAACTGATGAAGATCTGAAACACAGTGTCCGAACTGGCTATGCAGTCACAATAAAACCTTCTATGCTGTTGGCAACATTAACTTGCCAAAATTAAGGATGCAATGTGTTAGTGTAAAGGGCAAATATCTTGATAGGGACTGAAAGTTTCGTGATTCTGGTATGTATATTAATGGGGGGGGGGGGAGTCCAGGTCAGCCTTGAACCACTGTCATATCAATGAATATAATACTGCAAAAACTGCAGCACTTGGTCAGCTGATTCACATGCGCATTCCATTGCAATAGTGCAATGCAGGGACAATAAGGATGCAACTACTGCATAACCCTCCAAGCTCACTCCTGTTCGAATTAAGCACTCACCAAATCTACAGTTTGGACGGATCATAGTTCTGGAACTTCCACTGCTGCTGTTGGTTGCTGATGTCACACTCCTCCATGAGAAGCTTCTGCTTATTGGAGCTGATTGCTAAGCACTTCTTGCTGCTCCCATGCTGTATCAGATGTGTCTACACCACAGAGCAACAAGTATTAACCCTCTGATTGTCAAACCCAGCATAGATATACCTGCTACAAACACCAACACTGCTTGGAGGTAAATGCAATTACATAGGAAAAGCCATTCACCTCACTCAAATGCCCTTCAAAAGAACACAGGTGTAGATCATGAGGAAGCCCACTCTTCCCTTCAAAATCAACATGTCACAACTGTCACCATCTACTGACAGAAATGATTAACAGTGAGTCCATATATTCAGCTTTGGGGCTCTGAATGCAAGTAACGTGAGCTGATCTGATACACTCATGGTGTGTGAAGAGTAAACATTCTTGCTCTAATGATTCATAACCCTATCAGGTGATTTCATTTTTTATTCTGTAATGTTACAGAAATATGGAATTTGGTACCTTTGCTGTGTACCTACCACTGCGTGAGCTTAACTTAGAAAGGTATATGTTGCAAATTAACTTTCTGCATGCATTCACACTGGCTGGGTATGTACTTTACTTCCATCTATAATGAACATGCTGAACTTCAAGTCAGAACTCTCTGCTTCCTATGTATGGCATCTGTGGAATAATTCAGAAACTGCTGTACCTAGCAGTGGATTTACTCCACATTATGCATCATCTGACACCGAGTGTCACAAGAATAATAAAAATTAGTATCCTGAAGTAATTCTAAATGAAGTTCATATTCAAGATTTCTTTAGGAGTAATGGATATAAACACAAATCTGGTGACGATCTTAAATAGAGGAGATTTAGGAATGAAATTATTGACTTGGATCACTGAAATAGTACTTTAAATATAGGGGAAAAATTAAATTTAGGAGTATTAAGTTGGTGTTCTATTGTACAAGGCAATAATTATTATATATTAATTCAATTTCCAATCAATTTACATTAAAACTACTTCCTTATTCTGTAACCAGCCAAAGTACTGGGCCAGAGATGAGGCACCAGCCCAAAAGACCAAGAATGGAATGATGTGCTGACTGGTAGGGGCTATCAGACACTTCAGGGGACAGTGATAAGTGAGCCTGGAGCAATGGTGGAGTGGTGACTACCAAGGGAGATTGAAGAAAGTCAGAGAGAATGGCTCTAGTGCCACTCTGCCTACCATAAATATCATGTGAAGTCAACAGATTCACTTGGGAATGAACCCAAGGCTCTGTGGTGAAAAGGCAGTACCTAACCATCTACTGAAGATAAATTGCAAAAATAAGCCATCAGAAGGAGTATGGCAGGAAACTACTTACTCAGCAAGAAAAAGGCGAAATTTAAAGTAAGGGTGTCATGAAATATTGATCACACTGTGTTCTACTGCATTATAGAGAGCAATGTCACCAGTAACTGGCCATAACAGAACACTTACATCTGAGTTATATTGCCAAAACTGGTTTCCCTTTGAGCCATGGCAGGGGTACAGTATGACCTCCTGACCAGCATAGTCCAGGCACGTCTCATCTCTTCTTATTTCACCTGACTTGCTCAGCATCCAGTACTGCAACCACCACAACAATCTATCAAAACTGGCATTTGCTGAGAGTGGAAGTTCTCACGAAGTTACAAAAATTATGGTCTTCTAGGATGTGAGACCATGTACTCTGACAACATTTCAGAGAAACCTGCTCTCTCTCCACCTTCAGGAACACAGGCAGAAAGTCCCTTTGAAATATTTATACCTATCTACCATACTAAACACATCCATAATCCAAATGGCATTGAGACTGCAGTCTTCAGGGATGTAAATCTGTGTAGTTTCATAAATCGGTACCAATGTTTCAGAGAAACTTACTGCCTCTATCTTCAGGATCTCCTTTTATTCAGAAGATGCAGGAGGCAGGTTCCTCCAGAATGTGAGTAAACATCTACCAGACATGACATGACAACCCAAGAGACTGCAGACTTAGAAGTCAGCACAGTAAGATCATCCAGTCTCAAATATAAAACATAATTAAAGGATTACTCTTCAAGATGTACAGAGAAATTAATGCAAAATAAACACAGAGAAAACTAAGTATATGTTGCTGTCTCATCATCAAAATGCAGGGCAAAATCAGGTAATAGATGATTTGAAAATGTGGCATAGTTCGGATATTTTGGAACGACTATAACATATCAACATCTGATTCTGGAGGAAATTAAGAGGAGAGTGAACTCGGGTAATGCTTGCTACCATTCACACCAGAACCTTTTGTCTTCTCGTCTGCTGTCCAAAAACATAAAAATTAGAATATACAACACTATAATTTTGCCTGTGGGTCTCTATGGGTGTGAAACTTGGTCTCTGACATGAAGGGAGGAACACAGACTGAGTGCGTTTGAGAACAGGGTGTTGAAGAGAATATTTGGATCGAAGATAGATGAAGTGACAGGAGGTTGGAAAAAACTGCATAATGAGGAGCATCATAACTTGTACTCTTCTCCAAGTATAATTAGAATGATCAGTTCACAGGGCATGTAGCACGAATGGGGGACACGAGGAATGCATATAGGATATTGGTGGTAATTTAAGAAATTAAAATTGATTAAAAACGTGTATTCTTCTATCCTGATTACCCCTGGGTGATCAGTAAAATTCGTCTTAAATGTAACCATGATTATAGCCACAGACAATTGATAAAGCTCTGTTTCCTATATATTGAATCTATCATATTGTGAGCAGGTAATATTTTAAAATGAAGAATCATCTCAATGGACTATACAATTCGAATGTTACAAAAAACGGTAATTAGAATTTTGATGAAGAAAATTTTAAGGAATTATTATTAGTTCAAACTGGTAAATTCATGCTGCAAAATGTTCCAAATATCCAAACAGTTGAATTAAATTACACACACACATACATGCATACATTATAACAGCTGTTCATCATACCTCCATGTAGGTTATATTATTCGGATGCAATCTTGGTTTTATACATGGGGTTTGAAAATTACACAGGCTATACATTGCTGAACTAATTATAGGAAGGGAAATCCAGACTGCAGTATCTGCTGCAGTCACCAGTTGATATGAACTAGATGATGCTGGCAAGTCATAAAGTTATGATCATTGTTGGAAGCAAAGATTACATATATGCAGAGAGAAATATGTGAGCTGGACGGCATTATTACATTTAAAATTCACATAAGTGACTAAGTACCAATTCAAATCACTGTTAATTTGCAGTGATTTAACAAAAAACAAATAGTTTCTATATTCCATCATGATCCTATTACATGGAGGTATCATTTAATGAATCACCCTCTCCCAATTAGTATGGTGTTACCAACAGAGCATACTTCAGTTCATGCTGAAACAAGGAGCACATAAATTAAGTTACATATTTCACATGTCTGCCAACCTCAAAACTCAGCATCTTACATTCTAAAGTGGTATCATTTTTCTACTCACATTTCTCATTATGGAATTTCAGGAAGTATTAAATGTACTTTGTAAATGTAAATTACATGTTATCACTTGTAACTGTACAATCAATATCACAGATTCTTTATGGCCAGAAGTGTACTACATTTATGGACATAGTAAGGCATGACACAGCTAACACAGCTCCTCTTGCTTTTGTCCACAGGTATCCGGATATGTAGTATGATAATTTAGCGGTGATAACAAGTGTTTCGAAGATTCAAGGTGCTAGTATTTTACAGTTAGATCACTTATCTCCCCAGAGTAAACAACATTACCTGTATTAATCAATATTATGTGCTACTCAGTCAGTACAGAGACTAGGCTATAAGCTGCATAATCAGAGAATCAAGGCTTGATTTTTTTCAGAAATAAGTTGAAGCAACCATCAGTGTAAGTCCAAAGGAAACCACCACCACATCACGTTCATGCTTCATGCCCTGCAGCCAGTTCACACAGGTTTGCCAATACTGCATTTACTCATGGAAATTTCTGCATCAGTGCATGAAAATGTTCTAGGTTGTCTGTTACTGCCCACATTGTATCGTTTTACAGTGAAGAAGGAAACCACACAGTAAGGGTCTGCATGTCAGAAAAAATCATTTAATAGGCAGATACAGTAAAATACATACAATATAACCTTTGACTGCCAAGCCTCACCATAGAAATACCAGCTAGAAACACCAAGGCTGATTGAGGGGAAACACAATTGCACAAGAAAACCCACAGTGCTTCTACTCAAATCTTCTTCAGACAAAAGGTATAGATTATGTGAAAGCCTGTACTTTCCTCCGAGCATTGGCATGTCACACTTGATGCCATCTATGGACAAAAATTCTGAACTAAGTTATTAACAAGCCTGTTCTGCTGGATGTGGCAATATTTATGCAAGTCACCTAAGCTTACTAATCAGCTTGTGGAGTGCAAAGGGTTAAGTGAAGTACATATATATATACATAACGTGATTGTCAATGATTCTAAAAGAACATTAAAATTTAAATATTTTGCAGCTCAGGAAGAATCATCCAAGGGTTTCTATTAGAATCAGAGTTGTACATATTCCATTAGTGGGAGTTGACACTGTATATGGTTTTTAATTTATGATATTAATTTCAGTTGGAATTACTTCGATATGAAGTATTTGCACAGATACACAGAATTTAGATTATGGTATAAATTTTATTAATTAATTCATTTACTGGCATAAATCATGATAAAGTAAACACAATAATCAAATACTGATATGAAGGGTGTAAGTCAGGTAACAGTGCAACACATCCCATGACAAATGTCAACAATAAGTTGGCAGTTTATAATTAATGTGAAGAATAATGACAAAATTAATTTTGTGAAGCATCAACTGATTGTATTATGTATAAGTGTTTCTTATTTGTCTGTCACAAGAGGAAAGGCCATAGATCCTATAAAAACATAAAATATAGACAAGTTAATGAATGAATCTACCATACTGCTTGTAATTGTCTATTTGGAGAGCAATGAGAACAAAGCCACCTTACAATTCAAACAAAAGAAAAAACTCCAGGCTCTGTAGTCCGCAAGTGAACTATACCAAGTAAATAACTGCCACTTGTCGGCGAAGTTACAATAATTTGAGCAAAATCTAAAATAACAGCATTCTACATTTTGAAAGCTCTCCTTTGTTACCAATAATGCCGAAATTGTAAATCTTATGAGATTAAATTTATTCACTACATATAATAAATACTCTTTAGTAGTTAGCACACATAAAAATGTAACTTTTCTGTTTGTATTTAACAGTTTTCTGTTTCATACTGCGGACCTAACAGAGAACAAAAAGATACCATGGAATTTACTCTATAATCATGCCAAAAATTACAGTAGCCATGGTTCTTACAGCGATGTGCAAGCACTGTGGTAGAATTTTTTAATGCAATTTTAATCCCTATACAGAGTCTGTCCATCAAATTACTTCAATAAAATGTAATTCATTTCTTAATTTGAGTGTTATTCCCTTTCAGAGTTTTAACTACCACATATTGAGATAATGACAAGGAAAGCTACCATATCCCAGGGGAGGAATGGGTAATACCGCTATCATTTTGATAAATCATTATTACTAATATTTTAGATTATTGCATTTAAAAAATGTTATGTCCACCCCCACCCCCCTTTTGCTTAATTTCAGAAGACACAGACAGCAGACCACATCAATTCTTCACTATCTCTGCAAGAACTGCAGGGATAATAAAAGTAACACTTTCTTCTTGCCAGATCATGAATTATAAAACCTAACTAATATAAATCCAAGATCACATTTTATAAAATTCTTATTGTTTATACAAATCTCACTATCAAAGATTTTATAACTATATAATATTAGCAAAAATTTTTGGACTACCAGAAATGTCACTGCACATTTCATGAGAACCGAGGAGGAGGAGAATGACACCTAATCCATATTCGAACGGCACACCAATCCTTCTGCGGCCACCTACCTGATTGCCACCCTGCTTATGGCATGGCCACAGTCCCACCGGCTTGTGCAAATCATCAGGCTTGCAAGCGGAGTCCACGCACTGCCCTGCCCATTCGTTACCAATCTAATGTTGGTGATAACAACATCAACATTTAAACAAACAACTTCAACACAACAAACAAAATGGAAGAACTGCTCATGTTTGCATGTGTTTTTCCTCTCCCAGCTAACAAATAATGATATCCCTTCTTCCAACAGACTCTCAAAAATTACTAGAATTGTAACACAAAATTTGTAAGGAAGAACATATTCAAGATTCCATTTACTAGATCAGTGTTATCTTATGGCACAGAATCAAGGACAATAAATACTGATGAGAGATGATTTCATATCAGCAGAAATGTATTTCACGAGGACTGCAGGACAGACCTTTCTGGACAGTATAAGAAATGATGAAATTATATGAGAACAGGAAGATTCACAAATAATAGAATATACAGAAAATGCAGAAGAAATTGGAAAGAGCATGTTGACAGGATGAGCTCCAACAGTAATCTTAAAAATAATCAAAAGGAAAATTACGTTTGAGAAGTCTAAACTGATTAAAGATTCTCTTTTCAATATCCACAGAGGTCTCATGGGGCTTATACTAAAGTAAAGGTAAAGTTGTCCCTGTGCTTAACTAATTCCAAACTACACAGTGGGGGCTTATGGCGAGCGGACGTATAGATCCACATGCACCGGGAAGGATCATTTTGGTGATCACAACACATTCTTTCAGTAGAATCTTTCCGATTAGTTCTCCGTCGTTTTATAAGTTACATTGCTTACAGAACTGATAATTCTGTTATCACATCTGTCAACTACATGAAAACACTTCAGCCACTTGTAATCTTCTCATATCAGCCCAATATTTACAGTCCATGATTTACCTGATATGCAAGACTGTTTTATAAATTTGGACTGTCATATGCTACAAGACCATTGGCCAAATGTTGCAGTCATGTCGGAAATACTCTTTCTTTATATTAAGCATATCCTGGGTTGAAATCTTAACCCACAGAATGGCTACTGAGACATGTTATTTTCCTCAGGCCCTCCAAGGAAATGCATGGATAGGACCTCAAATTAGGCCGCTATCATTCCTTCCAATTCATTAGTCAGTAATAACCTGAGCTACTGGCGACATCATTAAAGAAACCATAAATAATTTGACATTACTGATGTTTGTGGATATTTTATGATGCTCCCAGTACCCAGAATAAATAAAATCAAATAATAGCATGACTGCTGAATAATGAATTGGAAAGGATTTTAAAGGAAGTGGCCATGGCCTAATTGTGGATCTGCCCTGAGGGTCTGACGGTAGCCAGTGTCCTTGCTGAGATTCAAACTGAGTGCCTCCTGAGCAGGAGTCAGGAGAGTTACCGTGATGCTGGTTACATATGCATCTGTGGAAGAAGATCCACATTGAGATGTTAGTGGAAGAGAGAAAAGATGAACAGTGACCTGAAGTATGCTCTGCTGCTGCAGCTGCTGCCACCTGCAAATGAAAGTACGCACCTGGTTTCCACCCTGATTGTGGCAGGGGTACAGACCGGCCGGCTTATGCAGGTCAGCTTTACGCGCAGGAGAATCTAGACAAGTCTTCCCTCCCAGTCCAAGATTTCGAACCTGATCCATCACAGCCAAAGGGATGAGTACACACAGAAATAAATATACACTTCAACAGAAAACAATATCAACTCTCACTGCATTTTGGTATCCATAAAAGACATTTACAGTGAAACCCATATTCAAAGTTTTATTTGGACCAGCGGATTTGGACAATGAATTGAGGAAAATCTTAAATTGAGAAAATGTAACACTGAAATTACTGACTTTGGATCACTGAAACTGAATGTTATATGAGGGACAACCTTAATTCAAGATACATTAAGTGGGGGTTTCACTCCTGTTATCTTGTCCCAGTTTGACAGAAAAATAAAATATCTCCAATGTGAGACTCATATTTATGTTAAACTGAAAATCTGACGGTGATATTTCAGTCATTCTGAATAGAATTAAAGATGAAGAAAAGAAAAAGAAAAAGAAAAAAAAAATGGCTAATTTGTAAAGCAAAGAAATTTGGGTATCCAAAAATTGTAATGCCTCTAAATTAAGATTTGAATGCACTTCTTTAATTTCGATTTTGTAAAACTGATGACTGCATAAATTTTTATTGATCCTCGATGCAGCTGCAGTTTAAAGCTTCTTGTACATTAAAATCTATCTAATTTATTACTTTTCAATATCAGTAAAATAGTAAATTCCAAGTAAGAGATGTTTCAGATACAATTTTTGAGGCAGTGAAGACCCATCTGAATATCTCATACAGTATTAACCACTTCCGTGGTACTAATAAAATGTATTCAAAATCAACCTCTTTTACCTAAAACATCTTTGATGACATCTGCTGAAGTTTTACTGTGATTATTTGTAATGTTCCAAACATTGCATTGATAAGTTACCATGGAAGCAAACACATGTAAGGTATCTAAACCACTAGGTACAGATAGCTTAAAGCACGTCCAACTATCTCCTTCCGGTACATCGGTCACATACCACGAACAGTTTAGTGACAATCTGTGTGAAGCATGAAACCGCAAGAAGATTACGGTCAAGTGTGGCGATCAAGTTGGTCACGGTCTACGTTACTGATGAGTAACACACAGAGAGCAGCACTAACCTCGCCTGATGCAACAGCTTCTCCCGGAATAAAGAGTTCAGGGTAGATGTTATCAAGGTACCACTTGAATGGCTTACAGCCCAGCTTCTTCCTCAGTTCCTTACGAGATGATACATTACCATAGTCTCCCTGAAGGCAGAGAGTGAAGTACTTACAGTTTTTGCCAACAGCATGACAGATTAGTGGCTGTATGTACTCACAAACATTGTCTCAAATGTGTCACAAAATCTGACAATTTAGAGAAACACGCATTTATTAAAAACGAAATTCCGGGAAGTATTTATCACATACTTTCCTTTCACTACATATTCAGTATTTGATGTTGTATGGACCACATAGCTATTCTACTGTTGTGTGCCATGGGAAATGTTTCCCAAGCCACTGATTAGCAATGTCCACCTCTTCTGGCTACACTATTGGGCATGGACACGAGCTCAACTTGTGCTGTTTTGTACTTAATTAACGTATAATCTCAAGCTCAAATTACCATAAGGTCAAAATTAATGATTAATACTTTGATCTGTATGGTTATGTAATGGCAAAACTCTGTGAGGGTCCACTGCAGGTACCTCAAAGCACATTTCTGAAAATGCATACCTCATCTCTGAATGGCGTCAAAGTACAGGCTTATCTCTCCATATTAATAATGCACAGCTAAAATTTTGAATACTCTGTGTTTGCACTCAACTGATGTCAGTATCAAAGGGTCTCAAATGGTGGTATAAAAGTAATATCATTCTGATAATGATACAGTTGTGCCTGATTTGTTTAATTTCTATATTCACTGGCTGTATGGCTGAGGAATTAAGGTTAAATTGCCCGCAGCGTTAAGATTTTTTCACTTCTCCACATCTTCCAGACTGGCTCTGGGGTCCACCCATCATACTCATCCATTTAAAGGTTGTGTAAGTAGCATAAGTTGACAGTACTGTTTTATTTATATATATATATATATGTGTGTGTGTGTTGGGAGCGAACTTTGATAAGGTCATTACTGTTTCTTTCCAAATCCTTTCCAATTTATCATTCATCAACCATCCTACAATTCACTGCACAGTCTCAATATTGATATCAACGTAAAATAAACCACAAAAACAAATACTAGTCTAAGTGGAGACTGTGGCCAAAAGGTTTTCAAAATAAAATTAATTTATAATAAATATTGTTATAAGTACCAATGGTGGAGTCTCTGAGACTATATAGCAACAATGACTAACAAACGTGGAGCAGTTGGGGCAATAAGAATCAGATGGTAAACCAAAGTACAATAGTAGCAGGAAACCTACCCCAGTGTAACATTGGCTACCATAAATCCAACATGACCTCACCTGGAGTTGAACCCAGGCCACTGTGGTGGGAAGCCATAAAATAACCACTTGAACTAAGACGAGGCAATCACTGGTATCAATCAACTTTAAAAGTTGCAACGCTGGTGATTCACTCACCAGATCATTGCCAATGCGCTGGTAGTAGTACTTGGCATACTCATCTAGCCAGACTTCTGACAGTCTCACAGAATTCCTCTTCAGGACATTGACACCAGATCGCCACTTGTAGGGAGAGCGCTTCCTGAAGATATGTCCAACATGCGAACATGGCACAATCTCCAACGTGCCGCCGCACATCCATGTCTATTGAAATGAGACACAACAAAACTCTGAAACATTTCTAAATTGATACAACCAACAAAATGTCGACTCTTTTTTGAATGTAGTGCAAGGTGGGGAGTCCACCTGGTTATCTCTAATTAAGTATTAATTTGGGGGATTAGGAACTACAAAAAAAAAGTAGAAAAGTTGAAAAAGCCCTAGTAAATGGAAACTCATAATTCAGGACATGATCATATTTCTGTTAGCCAACTAAATGGAAACACTTTCTCATATCTCACTTTCTCATATCTCAATTTTTAGAGAATTACAATATGGTATTTGTGAAAATATTACTTATAACTTACTAAGTAACTAACTGCTTGACTGACTGGCCAACGAACTAGCCACATGGAGCCGCACAGCAGCTAAAACTTTAAAGACTGAATAACACCGAAAGCAATAAAAAAAAGAATAAACTTTACTCATTTATTTGAAAGAAGTGAGTCGGAATCAGGATTTGAATTGCATCCAAAATCTCTACAATACTTGCAAATCGTCTAAACAGCCAAGGTTACCGTATATATTGGTAGAGTACACAAAAAATTCCGTATGTTTGAGTGTTCTCTAATAGGTTCACGGTAGAGAACTAGAAACGGACATTGAAAGTTAGTCTATTGTTTTACACATTGCTGGCTAGAAGTCAGTCTGCGACCAGCCATCTTGAAACAGTTTTGCTTGGTTTTCCTCCGTCTTCAAGCAAACGCTGCAATGTTTTCCAAGTTCCAAATCGGTACTGTGTGTTTCTTACCCAGCCCTCCTTTTTTAAATTATCCAGAATTAAACACCTCTGCTGTGAAAGCCTCCAAATTACCATTTCAAAATAAGCAATTCACCATTAATTAAGAAAATCATAATCCCGCGGCCCTTGTCTAAAACCACTGCTTCTAACCATTCTAACACGTTCGCAGGAACCCAACATCAGTGACAATGCATGTGAGGTAACGGTTCACACCAACGATAGGAAATTTTTATCAGTACAAGAAAACTGTTGGGGGCAATTCCTTCCAATTTCTCGCCTACGTGTATAGTCTTGACGTCAGTTAGATTTAGTTCATTAATAATTCACTGAAGCCATCTGCGCAACTTCTTGCATTCACTCATTTGCATCTGACAATACAGGACTCAGTGCTCACGTTGCGTCGCGGTGTACCGTCGCATATGAACGCCGCACACCGCGTGCTCAGGCTGACCCACTTCACTGTTTCATATGCGCAACTTTTCTAGAATGATCCCGCATCTATGCACTTCATGTTGTTAGAAGGGGAACGTCTGGAACGTTCGGCAGCTATGCGCGCGCACACACTGGGATGTGACTCGCCCTACCCCCCGAACTCAGTCAGTGTGACAATATATAATAACTAAAACTTTGTAAAGAAGGTAGAAAAAAGTAAAGTAAAGTAAAGCTATCCCTGTAACAGGCCGTGGAGGCACATAGGGTTGTGAGACGTTGAGGCTCCCCTAGTGTCTATACAATCGGCTCATAGATGGCGGTAAGGTTGTCAGCCTTATACACCGGCTGCCCTTTACCCCCAACAACATTCCAAGAATATTCCTGGTACTCATTTATTTCTGTTAGAAGCTGAGTCGACCCCAGGACCACAGTGCGGCTGGAAAGATTAGGTACTTATTTACTTACTTACTTACTTACTCACTCATGGAGCTGAGCCCTTCTGGAGGAGCCGCCAATTATGCAGCTACTCAAGAATTTCCCAGCATTTTATGGAACCCGAAGGTTCATTACCGTGTTCACAAGAGCCCTCCAATGGTCCATATCTTGAGCCAGATCTATCCAATCCATACCATCCCATCCTATCTCTCCAAGATCCATTCTAATACTGCCCACCCACCTACGCCTTGGTCTTCCCTGTGGTCTCTTTCCTTCTGGCTTTCCCACTGATATCCTATACGCATTTCTCATCTCCCCCATTCGTGCTACATGACTTGCCCACCTCATCCTCCTTGACTTGATCATTCTAATTATACTTGGTGAAGAGGTGAAGAGTACAAGTTATGAAGCTCCTCATTATGCAGTTTTCTCCAACCTCCTGTGATTTCATCTCTCTTTGGTCCAAATATTCTCCTCAACACCCTCAGTCTATGTTCCTCCCTTAATGTCAGGGACCAAGTTTCACACCCATACAGAACCGCAGGAAAAATTATAGTTTTGTATACTCTAATTTTTATTAAGTAAATTGAAAAAATCCAATGACCACATCGGGATTCGAACCCGCGACATTCCGGCTTGTAGCATAGTGCCTCAACCAACTACGTCTACCGCGTTACTTTTACTTTGTGAAGGAATAAATTTAAATTAAAAATTAGAAGTTGACACGTTTAATTAAAAATAACTGGGAATGAGGATTCAAATCGCACGCAAAGTCCCACTGCATACTCTCGCACCGCCCTAACAGCGATGGCTACCGACATATTTGGACGAGTAGTGAGAACATTTCACAGTATCAGTGTTAGGTCTGTGGCAGGAAGTTGCACGTTTACATTTAATTAGCCTATACAATCATGAGTCATACCTTGAACGAAAGCTCCAAGTTCTCGCCTCCCCAAATGTCGAAGCCGCTGTCGTAAGTACCGAGTTTCTCAAAGAAAGCTCTGTCGATGCTGAACAATCCTCCGGCCATTGTTGGGCTCCAGACGGGTTCTGCGGAGTTCTTGTGCTTCTTGCGCTCTCGCTCCGGCACTGCATGCCAGTTAAACTGTGGCACAATACATGGGAACAGTTACTGTACCGTCAGGGGGCATGAGCATTCGTGTGTGCTTCTCCAGAAATGAGAACAATAACTATCACGAATGCCTGTCACTGGCCCCCACTACAAGATAAATTTCACTCCAGGTCTTCAAAACCTCTAATATATATTTGACTACGTTTACTCCTAAGCATGCTACATGCTCTGATCATACAACCCATCTTGATTTAATCACCATGAAAAATATTAGAAGAGCATAAATTACAACGATCACTATGGATTTTCTTTTCAAATTCCCGTTATTTAATCTCCCCTAGTGTGGATGTTTTCCTCAGCAATGTTTCTCACTTCTTTTAGACTTCATCCATCGTCTGGTATGTAAAAGACAAAAGTCCACGACGTTTCAGAGACTGGATCTGTCTCCGTCCTCAGGTGGACGTCGTGGACTTCTGTCTTTTACATACCAGACGATGGATGAAGTCCAAAACAAGCCAAAAGAAGTACAGTATACACCATCGTCAGAATCCTTTCAAGTCAATGTTTCTCACGTCACAGATGCATAACAATGAAGAATAAAAATGACGAGTTAACGTTTTCCTTGCTACAAATGATACATATAACTTCAAAGTGTAGATCGCTTGCTCTAAAGAGACTCTGATACTGTCAGTGAAAATTCAATATTCTGAGCATCTCTTCCTATGAATTTCAGTGATTGTACCAATAAAAATTACTTGTTAGCTACCATAGATAAATAAACTGCAGCATGGAAACGTTTAAAAAAGTTCCATACCTGTAAGTTCCAGTTGAATCCCCCGACCTGATAACTACCCTTTCCTTTGTACTCGAAAGTGTCGTCTTCAATGCTGTCAATAACAGGACAAACAACAGTCGTTCGATCTCTCGTAATGCGATCCAACAATGGCTCCAGCCATCCTGTGATAATATTGTTTGGATTGGCCGCATGAATTTTATTACTATGTATTTACCGATTTAAATGCAAGTTAAGACTATGAGAAGACGTAGATGTGAACAGCGAGACAGGGCAAACACCACTACACCGTTTACCAGAGCAGGAGACACATAACAAGAACACAAGATCGCATTCAAACCTATACAAGCACATTGAATTAGCGGTACTTTTAAATTCTTTATAATTTATGTTGGCTATACTGGTTACAACGCCACGGAAGCAGTGTTAACCATTACACTGCGGTGTTTCGCACATTTATCAAAAGCGAAAAAAAAATGTCGTTTCTAATTTAATTTGTAGATTCGTTGAATAATTTACCACATTTCGAGGATCAGTCGTTTTAATGGAAATTAAAGCACACCGCTTATGACAACCTCCCCCCTTTGCCAGGTATTAGTCTATAACCTCACCTTTTTATACTGGCAAATTACCTTTCTATACAATATATATCACAATACATATCACTATTATCGTAAAATTTACAGGCAGAATATACCGTTACTTTTAAACGACTAGTTCTGATAAATGTACAGAACTTGTAGAACACAGAAAAAATTGAAAGCAGGCGATGGCAGGATGGGCTCTTGACAGGATACCAATAAGAGATTTCACATTATCACGCAAAATGGGCAAGGAATTTGGGGAAATCTGAGAAACGATGGAAGAACTGAGGTTTGTAATATCCTCATTAGATACCAATAGGCGTCGTACTGAAAACGACGACGAAACGATGATGATGCTGATGATAAAGGCGATGATGATTATGATGATAAAGATGATGAACATAATTTTCAGGCCCTTCATGCGACCAAGAACAAAATTTTATGAGTCATATAATAAGATTGTGTCGTATAATAATCAGGAATCTTGCGTAGCTGCACGACTGGCAGCTTCTCAAGAAGGGCTCAGCTCCCTGAGTGAGTGAGGACTCCATCCATGCACTCCGTACCTGAAGGTTCCACTTGAATCCTCCGACACTGACAGGCACTGTCTCGTATTGCAAAGTACTGGAATTTATGGTGTCAATAACTGGACAAACGACTGTCGTTCTGTTTCTTGCAATCCGATCCAACAACGGTGGCAGCCATCCTGTGACAACAGCCATAAGATCTCAAAATGGCAGACAATTCAGTGAAGACGTCAGGTTAATGATTACCACACCAAAACATTCAGAGATGAGCCACAAACAAGCAACATCATTGCAAAATAATTCATACTTCGCCAGAAAGGGCCATCACCCATTTACCTGACCGTAAGATGCGGATATTAAGAAAATTAGACAAAAGCTCACGCAGAGTTAGAGCAGCAGTGAACATTGCGCTGTGCCAATGAACCAAATGAGGAACTGTGCAGGGCAGCGGCGTCTCTACAAACGCTGTTTCGTGTGAAACTGAACTGTAATTTCTTATATTGCAAAATATGAAATTACTGATGGTAAAAATTACTTACACTTTCCTATACTCATTTTATTGAGTCGGACAAAATAAACGTGAAAAGGCTTCAGATGGTGACCAAACACATAAAGATTGATCATCAATGCATTTGAAGAGACCTCAAGAGATCTTGTACGCTCTCATATGGGAAACTACTCTCGTGCTCAGAAACATCTAGTTCCAAAATCTTAACGTGTTTACACGCTTTGAGTCCCCCCCTCCCCCCACTAAATATGAAAAAGTGGCTTTGGAAATGCCGCCTGTTTGTATACAGGGTGCCCAGGAGGAAAGGTCAGTATTCTGGGAGGTCATGGTATTGGTCATTCTAAGCAAGAAAGTGTATATGTACATGTGTCCTATTCCGAACGGTTTCCGAGATGGCGCTACTTCACTGTACAGTGCATTGGGCAGGATACAGGCTATACCGGTAGGATGGATTTCACCGTTGTCCGGTACTCAGTAAAGAACAGGGGTCTGGCGGGCAATAATCAATTTCGTTTCCATGGTGACGTAAGCCAAGTTAACCGTGTAAGATAAAGTACGGGCACTGGGTTTGCACCGATTATATTTATCTCAAAAAAATTCGACGAAAGCAGTGTGTGCAACAGTTCATATTGTAGCGTGTACAGCCGTTGCTATGCAACGACCACGAGATAAGATGAATAAACAGCGACAGTTTCTAGGCAACGGCTCAGTAAATACGTTCCCGTGGCAATGAATATGCAAGAAACAATAGAATAAAGTTGTTTTCTACGTGGTCCGTGCCGAGTAGTTATAACCTGGCCAGTTGGAGTCAGCTGAGAAGAGATGGCGCTATAGTTCAGGTGGAAGTTCAGTTGTGGGATATTCGCCGGACAGTAATGACGTGAGCGCTGAAGTTGAAGAATCACCATTGTTGAGAGCAGATACCAAGCAACGACTAGTGAAGACACTGCAGTCTGGAGAAGACTTAGCGTGCGGTGATGTGTGAACTGTGGAGATAAGCGACAGTGCTGCGGCTGCTTGTGGTTCCGAGTCCTGTGCATAAGTGGTCAATCCAATCCCCGTCTAGAGTCACACACTCCTAAAATCGTGACATCATCATAAGGCTAAACAAATGTGCATTATGAACAGTGTAGCCAACACCAAGTGATACATTTACCTTCGTTCAGCGTGTTTCAAGCTCACTTCGAATCAGTGGAACTCAGCCCTGAAAGCGACCATACAGTTTACCACAACCCCGCACAGCCGGCGCATGGGGTTTCAATAAACAAAGAAAAAGTGCAGTTTAAGCGGGAAACAGACAAGTGTGATCCCAAGCATGACAGGACCGGTTCCCGTGGCTCAGTGGGCGAACCAACAGAAGGTATAGGGAAGTCAGGTGAAGTAGAGCGCGGAAGCGGTGGCCCTTTACAGGGCCGTTTTGCAGAGAGTGAAAGCTACAAAAGATAACAAAACAGGCTCCTTCGAGACAGTGAACACAATCTACCAGACCTCAGGGCGTCACATCGCAGTCACCGCCACGGGATCCTCGAGAGCGACAGGTCGCACGAAAGCACTAGGAAGCGCTGTTTCATCTCTACCTTGTCCATCGTCCGGTATTCTAAAGGGCAAAACGTTTCGGAAACTGCATCTGTTTCCTTCGTCGGGTGAGGCGGGAGACACCTGCTCTGTTAGGCCCGTTAGAAAGAGCTAACCTCAATCACTAGACCTTCTAGAATCTACTTAAATTCGTGTTGTGTTCGTAATGACAGATATAAACACCTATTACTAAAAAGAGCCACCTGCTCCGTCTATGGACATGAATTTACACCCACCCACCAGTGACTTCAGCTAATGAAAAAGAAGTCTTTATACAAAGTGTTTCCAGAATTTCCTAACACCACGAAATATAACTCGATTTCCATTCCTTGTTACCCAATGTTCCAACAACGCTAATGAAACTCCATTCATCTAAGCACACCTGTTTAATATTATATTTTTTTCAAATTCTCCTTTCCTAAAAGGTTTCTCTGCCAGTATTCTGTACATAATATTTGTATCACTGTCCCAGTTTTCGTATTGTTAGTGGAGTGGGACTAAGCCCCTTGTACTGCGGCCACGTCTGGCCTACTGTACCAGCCCCAGATGATAGGTGAGGGTGATTGTGGAGCAATTGGTGGAATGAAGATTGGCAGGGGAAACCGAAGTACTCGGAGAAACCCTGCCCCAGCGCCACTTTGTCCACCACAAATCCCACTTGACCAGACCCGGGATCGAACCCGGGCCGCCGCGGTGGGAAGCCAGAGACTAACCGCTTGAGCCATGGCGCGGCCACCGTCCCAGTCACTACTTCAGCCAACTGCGATCTATCTGGGTAACCAATCACGAAACTTCTACTTATGTAAACTCGCCATTAAAACTTCAACTGTTCCCAGGTCCGACGGCCATACTGAGCAAAGAGAGAATCAATATAAATTAAATAAAAAAACTAGAATAGAGAGCACTGCAAACATAACAGAAACAGTTATTCGAGATAACGATGTATCGATAGCCGAGAACACATAAAACAAAAAAGACTCTATATCTGACGTGAATTGTTTTGCTACGCATTACTTTCACCATACAGGCCTACATCTACAGTGTCTTGACAAGATCTGCGGTACATTAATATAATTACTGAACGTTTCGCATTAGCCATCGTCACAGGAGCGTCACAGGATCTCTTAACTCCCACAGACGGGGCGTGCTGTGCTTGCTTTATATATCCCGTCTTGTGTTGGTGCTAGTGTTCGGAGAAGCAACCGAGTGCCTGGGGTTATTACCGAGACCTAGCCCTCCAGGTTGGGGGAGTCTCGAATCTGAGACAGTAAAATGTGGTCATGAGTCCCACGGGATTCGGACCCGAGAATGACTGCGCTGGCGAGAACCTGCAGCAACTGTAAACGACAGACCCATCCTCTCGTCAGAGAGGATGTTACATAAGGACTATAACCGCAAGTGTTCATTTGGGAAATGAAAATTCTGGTCGTGAGTATCAAGGGGCTTGTCTCCAAGACGAATTGATTGGCGGTAACAGACAGTCGTAAAGTAACTGTGACTCTGACTGTTAGTGTCCGGAGATAGGGACTAGCTCTATCGATTGGGCCCAACTGAGTGGGTTTTACCTGAAGAGGGAGACAGAATCCAGTCTTCGAAACGTTGTTTTAAATAAAACGCAGGATGATGAATGATGTCCAAAAACTAAATAACTTCATTAGCATCTTGATTTGCGTGATTCTGTGAAAAATGTCCTGGATTCTAGAACTAATTTCCCAAGCAAAAAAACTAAAAAAAAAAAATACCTCAAATTCCTGCAGAGCTGTGCTTGCATGGAGACTAGGAAATTATTTTGTGAAAAAAAAGTTATAATTAAGATTTGTTGCCGAAGGTGCCAATATCTGCGTCAATAAATAGTTCTGTAATAAGGAACAACTGTAACGCAGTTGGTGGCATTCAATGTACACACTGCATTGGCAACACTGACTCCCACTAAAAATAATTTAAATTTCTAAATCAATTTAATTAAAATCAGTTTTTGCTAACCTGTAAGGCATGGAATGTCATTTCTATGAGAACGTTTTTTTGTCAACCAGAGTCCTGCACTTTCCTTAGCACTTACAACTCACTAACAAAGATGTTTTTACGCTCGGCGGTATAACCACAAAATGGCGCACATATCCCCTGAGAAATTACTTTCATGAAGATGGACTCAACCAACTTTATGGCGCATCCGAAAACTACCGGCCCTCATAAAACAATTGCACTGCAATAAAACAATAGCTGTAATGTTTTGCTACATTCGCCCGTAGTGGCACACGCGTTCTGAAATGTATACCAGCATTTATGAAATTAAACTTTAAGAAACTGTACTAAACAGATTATGAAGAGCTACTGTTCACAGAACATGGCGTAAAGTTTAACATGCGTGTTGTCTGGGCCTTTCAGCCCTAATATTAAACTAAATTCAGAGGTAGCAACACGTTCTGATAAGCAGCCCCTCTCGTGAGGAATGGTCACGGGACACTACCGCCTCTACATCTGTTCAGCTTCTAGCTCGCAGGGAAGAACTCTGAGGCGACAAAAGCGAAGGGAACTGCCGCACTGATACGAGATGAGTTCAGACTTCTTTTACATTTTTTTTTAATTCGCTTAGTGGGGGTGGAGTCCAACTGGGTCCAGTCGGCACGGCGGCCACTGACTGGCCTATTGTAGCCTGCCCCGGGTGATTATGATGATGAAGAATTTGGTGGAATCAAGATTGGCCGGGGAAACCGAAGTACTCGGAGAAAACCTGCCCCAGCGCCACTTTGTCCACCACAAATCCCACTTGACCAGACCCGGGATCGAAGCCGGGCCGCCGCGGTGGGAATCCAGCGACTGACCGCTTGAGCTATGGCGCGGCCGAGTTCAGACTTACTCGAAGTTACCTTGTTCTTGAGGTTTTATTATTATTATTGTGTATGTATGTGTACTGTTCCTTCTCGTCACAAAATAGCATAACCACTGGAAATGTACTTATTTTATTTTTCTCGCCTGCTAACGCTAACTTTAATTGTTCTTGGAATTATTATTAATTTATTGCCATTATATAGACTGTCATATTTTGTATTTTATTCTTTAGTTATCTTTGTGTATTTCTATGTACTCGTGCTAACCTTCTAATTGGCCTCTGTGCTGTTAAGTTTGTATGTAAATAAATTATAACTGACCTGAACTGAACTGAACTGAACTGAACTATTATGATCAATCTTGCAAGTGACCATGTACACTCATCACAACAATTCCTTTACAGACTCAGTAACAGATACATTCCAGCCTGTCAGCCGTCTTCACTGCCTTCAAGATCACAGTTTGCACGATCTGTAATGTATCCTGCTCCCCCCCTGCTGATGTCTAACTCTCCTTTCTTCTCTGACCCTACAGCCCCCTTGGACCCTGGCCTCTGATTTTCAGTTTCATGATCATTTTACAGACGGTAGGACTCCTTGGGTGAGTGATCAGCTCGTCGCAAGGCCTGTATCTAACACAGGACAACACAAACACAGAATAAACAAATACACATACCAAACATCCATGCTTTGTGTAGAATTCGAACCCACGAACGAGCGAAGACAGTTCATGCCTCAGACCGCTTGGCTACCGTGACCGGATTAACTCTTATATAATGGGGATTGCTAAACGGCAAAAGTAAAGGTATCCCTGTAAGAGGCCATGGAGGCCCATAGGTTTGTGAGACGTCGAGGCTCCCACATTATCTAGACAATCGGCTCACAGGTGGCGGTGAGGTTTTCAGCCTTACGCGCCGGCTGCCCTTTACCCCAAGGAATATTCCTAGTACTCATTCCTGTTAGAGGCTGAGTCGGCCCCAGGGGCCATAGAGCGCCTGGCACGATTAGGTCAATTGAGAAATCCAATTATTTAATCGGCAATCGAACCCGCGACCTTCCAGCGTGCAGCCTAGTGCCACAAGAGGGAAGAGTGTGCTCGTAATTGCATAGGCGCTTCCATGTTCACGCACAAAGAGCTGTGCAATTCGGGGATTTCCAGAACAGAACAAAACGTGTATAAAAATTACCGAAAGTAAATAACTCAGCTGACTGCAACTTCTTGAGAAACTAACAGTAATTCAATTAATCAAGAATTTTATGGAGCATGAAGGTTCATCACCGTGTTCACAACAGCCCGCCACTGGGTCCCTATCTTGAGCCAGATGAATCCAGTCAACACATTCCCATTCAATTTCTTTAAGCTCCATTTCAATACCATGTTCTCATCTAAACCTAGGTACTTCTAGTGGCCTCTTTCTGTCAGTTTTCCTACCTAATTCAGTATGCATTGTACTTCCACCATACGTGCTACATACCCCGCCCATCGTCCTTAAATTGACCTTCCTAATAACATTTGGCGGGAAGCACACTTTATAAAGCTTATCATTATGCAGTTTTGTCCAACCTCCTGTCACTTCTTCCCTCTTAGAGCCAAACACCCCCGTTTGCGTTCCTCCCTTACAAAACAGCCCTGACAAGTGATTCAAAAATGCATTTGAGTATGTGCAATGAAGATGTCAGCTTTTTGAATATTTTCCCTTCTCTTTTACTTCGAATATCACTCCTATCGGCTACCTGTTAATTTGTAAGTATCAACAAAGGAACACTTTCAAATGGGAACTTATAAGACTCCTGCCATCTGTTGTTCGTACACGCAAACTACTAGAAGGAATGCCAGGGACGCAAAGAGCATCGCGCGGCGGTACCGGGGCCGGAAGCTTCAGAACGGAAGCAGCGCACCAACCAAATCCATGGATGCTAGAAATCGGGTGCGACAGTAGCACAGAGCAGTACCTGCAGGTTCCAGTCGAACCCGCCCACATTCACTCCTCCCGAGTCCCTCCAGTGGTACTCCAGCGTCGTGTCGTCTACTACGTCAATCACTGGACACACGACCGTGGTTGAGTCACGTGCTATGCGGTCAAGCAAAGGTTCAAGCCACCCTGGAATACAACACACACAAACACACTGCGACCCTCTGTTTAGTGACGCCACTGCTGTGCAGGGAAAGCTGTATGTGTGTTATTACTGAGCTGGGATGCAGAGTGACACAACTACAGACATCAGGGTCTGAGGCATATACACGAAGGGGTAAGAAATTCAATTAGACATAAAATTTCCCAATAGAAATATCAGAACAAATTACGTTAAGGACAGAATTGTACTTCGGCACTAAGGATTAGAACTCCTGGCCGATTTTGAGAATTAATTTGAGTCTTTTTAAAAATGTGGTAGGACTTTTCTGACAGTGGAGTACCCCAACACAAGGCCTCTACCTAAACAAGACAACACAAACACAGAAAATACTCTTGGAATATGTCAATGCACCGCGTGGGATTATAACCCACGGTCCCAAAGATATAATTAGGCAAAGAAATGTGTTGAGACACTCTACAAGTGCGCTAACTTGTGAACCCAAATCAATTTTGAGGTCTTATACATGAAGAGGCGCTTATACGTAATTTTGTGACGATTGATTTATTAAGCAAGAAAGGACCAAACTTAAGTTTCCATGTAAGATTTGAGGCTTTCACGGCGGTGACTATGAAGAAAGCAGTCTTCTGGGATTTGGCACCGTGTATATGTGGTGTTAACCGACGTTTCGGAGGAACGTATTGCCCCCATCTTCAGGGTTGAAGAAAAAGTTTAAGAAATCTGCAAGCGACAACACCGTGAGAAGCTTTACCGTTTCTCACGGTGTTGTCGCTTGCAGATTTCTTAAACTTTTTCTTCAACCCTGAAGATGGGGGCGATACGTTCCTCCGAAACGTCGGTTAACACCACATATACACGGTGCCAAATCCCAGAAGACTGCTTTAAGTTTCCATGTTCCCTCATTCGTCTTGTGTTAAGGAACTGAACATCATGTAACGTAGCAAAATAATGCGTTCCGCATGGGCGTTATGACGTGAAACAAAGCCATTACATTTGTCACAATGCAGTGATAAGGGATGATAGCTTGCATATTTTGAGTAGCACAGATACGCATATACACAAATACGTNGTGGTGTTAACCACATCTACACGGTGCCACATCCCAAAACTGCTTTTTTCATGAAAAATGTTCACAGTTAAGTACATACTTTGAAAAGCACGTGGCACTTACGAAGGCAGATGAGTCACTTGTCTGTTCAGACAAAAAACTTGAGTTTCTTCAAACCTGCATTATTACGTTCAAAGACAAGTATAATATAAATGTTTTACATTTTTATAGTTTTTAAATAAAGGCTTTACAGCGATATTTGTATTGGTTTTCATCAGCACTACTCATCTCATTAAGTTTTCCATTTATCTGTGTTGTAAGTTACTTGTGTCTTTGAGGGCTACCATTTGCTTCACTTATCCGGATGACTTCCCACGGTTACTCCGGATTAGCGAGGGTTTACTGTACAAAGAAAAGTCCACATCATAAAGCAAGACCTTCACACGGTGTACGTAGAAGCGTGTGCAGTTGGGAGTACAGCGTTCATTTGTTTTCACACTGAAAATGAGCAGCATCAGACATTTTGTGGCAGTGACAGTGACCTGAATTTCCACTAAACAGACAGAGATACAATTAAACACAAAATGGCTTCCTCTGCTGATTTAACTACTCGACCTCAGTAACAATGAATTTAAGTATTTCTTTTCTTTATAGCAACTTGAAAATGTCCGACTAAACAAGTGCACTGAATTCAGATGCTGCGGATTGCAGTGGGAGATGCTGAGATACCCAAACATTTTCAAGGCGTTCTACTTGGTTAACAAATACATATAATTACTGGCATGAAACTGAATGCGGTGTATTTAAATTGCAATGAGTACAACGGACAGAAAAACACGGCAATTTGCAACATGGAGGGTTGTCCTGCAAACTGAACGAGTAATCGGAAGGCTGCAATACAATATTTTTTATATTCCATGATTAATCCACAGTCAACTTCTGATGTGCAGGCGTTTCCGAAACAGAGACACGATAAGTCACAATTCATAATATGCATTTTATCTGCACATCCGATTTCAAAACACGATTTTTAACTAGCAACATTCTGCAACTTGCGCGAAATATTTGATTTCTATAATTTTGTGCATACAAAGCAGAAAAATATATAATACAATTTTGCTATAACATAAAGGCCTCATAGTATTTATATCTCTGACTTGGTTAATGGAACTCTAAAACACTTTAATATTTACAAATATATTTAAGGGTGTAAATTTTAAGAGACTTCCTAGGAAACGGCTATTACCCACACCAACAAAACCAAACCAAATCAAACAAATAAAAACATGAAGAAAGCAGTCTTCTGGGATTTGGCATCGTGTATATGTGGTGTTAACCGACGTTTCGGAGGAACGTATCGCCTCCATCTTCAGGGTAGAAGGAAAAATATAAGAAATCCGCAAGCGAAGAGACGGTGAGAACCGGTTACCGGTGCCCAGAAGACTGCTTTCTTCATAGTCACCGCCGTGAAAGCCTCAAATCAAACAAATAAAAACATAAACACACAAGACAAAGAAGAGACACAGAAGTGGGAAACAAACAACGAGAATCACAAAATGGAGCAGCATTGAAATGTCATGAGTAATAGCATTTAGTGCTGGCAGCAAGACAAATTTACAGCTCTTACAGAAGGCGGTGATACTGGTTCTTCTTCTTCTGCTTCTTGTCTTCCATACCAACGCCTGACTACATCGCGTGGTATCAGACAGCTAACATCGCCTGAGTGTCCACATTACGTTTAATGCAATATCTACGTATATTGCCTGATGGGTTATAAGAATACGGTCGTACGGGATGTGACGCCGTGTAATCTGGCAGACATGTACCAGAATACACGGTATCACGTCGCAGAAGACAGTAAGAGAATATTAGTCAAACAGTTTCTTACAACATCCCGCAGCTTAATGACGTCACCTTCACGTTCTGATAGAATTTGAGATTCTGTGAGCAAGTCATGACCTTGCCATGAATACATCTCTTGTGGTGGCAATTCCACGACCAAATTTTACATAACTTAACTTTTAAGTTACTGTTTTGATTTATATATTCTGTTAAGGGTCGCGAGTAGCGAAGGTAGTTGAAAAGACTTCTGTACATATACTGGTATGTCAGATGAGACGTTAAAACCAGTATCTCTGCCATCTTGTGTGATCCTGTGAAATGAAACTGTTAACAAATTTAGTGAGAAAATGAGACACTTAGTGTTTCTTCAATTCCAATTTCTGTGTTTGTGTTTCCGTCAAACCTGACACTAAAAATATACTTAAGTGTTTGCCCAGCAAACATCAGGAGCTGTCATAAAAAAAAGGACGCGCCATTTTGCTGGCTACATTAAATACGTTTAGCGTAATTCTTATAGTGTCCGCCAGGTGTCTCATTATCCCCACAGAAACACAACAATCGGCATACGGCAAAGGAAATCAAATTTACTGATGTAAGTGGAAACAATAGAAATTTTGAAACAGGTATTTCAATTCAAAATATTTGGTAGCCCAGTGAATATTTAAAAGAAAAAATTATATTCTATGACAAATTCTCTATTCAATTTAAAAAATTACAACCAATTAAACATAAAGCTGTAAAAGAGTAGATTTGGTTAAAATATAATTAATATTATCTGTCACATCAGACGTTCTCGAATGATGGCTAGTAACATTAAGCCCATTTTCTAAGCTTATATAACTGAATACGTGTACAATTCGAGAATCACCAAATAAACCAGAAATGAAAATTGCTGTATTCTTCGAAGTTAAGCCGTATAGCCTGGTAGATATTAAATTACGTTTCGGAGTAACTTGATGCCTCTATCTTCAGGGTAGACGTGCAAGTCCGACTGTCTTGTGAGTTTACTATTCTATTCTGAAAATGGAAGCAGTTATTTAGGCGAAAACGCTGATAAATATCTAATGCACTACACTGTGTCACATGCCAGAGCGCAGAACCCTTCATTTTCGTCGTCGTGACACCGTCACTTCTTGTAAGATTCACTTACGTCAGTTTGCTCAACCAATGCACGCGCTTCTCTTCAGGCGCCACAGGATGCTGATAGAGGAACATGGCGGCCCGTAACTGTCTGCAGTTGTGTCGTATACCATTCGAAAATAATTTTGCAAATGTGATATTCTGTTTACGACGATCCCCCCCCCCCCCCAAAGTACATAAATCCGATTGGCCATAGAATGACCTTGGAAAGAAAGCAAAGACTTGCTTAAATGCGTCAGTAGACAAAAACGAGAAAATCATAAGAGTTTTAAACAGGGTCGACCCTGAAAATTCAGGCTGTTATGTTGCTCCTAAACTACCAGACTACACGGCATCACATCCCAGAAGACTGTACTCCTTAATTCTCGCTTACTGATCTAAAAAAGACACAAGGATTACGGGCGTGAAATGCCAAACGTTTGAAGCATGGGGGTAAATTGGTTGCGGCATAAGTTGGTGTACTGTCTCGCTGTATGCTCGGAGCGACTGCGGAAAACTACAAGACATCTCCGTCAGTGAAGTGGATATTTCGGCCAATGTTCGAACCGGACATCTCCGAAACATAACTAACAGCCGCTGCTGCCTGAGCTAACTTGCTCGATGAGCACCAAAAGGGAAACGGCAAACAAAGAGTAGCCCCTGTTGTCAGTGTACCTGCAAGACACAAGCGCTCACAGTAGGCAGAAGGAAACTGTAAACATGGCCCCTCTGAAATTAATTGCGTTCGTGACCGGAGAAAGAAGCACACAAACATCAAAAGAATCCATTCCTCGAGGGGTGG